ATTAGATCCAGGTAACTATTTAGTCTTTGCTGCATTGTTAGTCAATGTATATTTGCGTTATTTACTGGTCATATTTGCTAGAGCTTGATGCTTAAACAAGCCTATGTCGCTGAAGCATGTAAATGCTATTAAAGCTTGTTAACGAACCATCAAAGCTAGTTAGTTAATATAGACGACCAGTTTTTATTATCGAATGAGCTAGTAAGTTATGTGAACTAATAGATATAACATTACGATAATATATGTGACCATCAATCAAAGGACTATTAGAATACAGTGTTAACATAAATATAAAATCGATCGAGAAAGTTGAAGTGGAAATAAGGGTTAATAATAATAGGTTGCGTTTCTTTAGTTGGGCTCACCAATGTGTAATTATGGTCTACTACGATATTAGTACTGCTCTAATAATAGACCTAATCCTAAATTTGTAGATTCGTCATGATATAACTGCCTAATCTATAAGATCTTACGTGGAAGTCACACCATCGACTACACCAACTCACTGTATCGTATCAATTACCAATACATGATGTAGAACAAGGTTAGGCTAGAGAAAGAACAATATATTTAATATGAATAGAAGATATAAGTTAACATTCGGCAGAGACCACGCCTGCATGGCCGAGCCATGCCACTCGATCAACTCCAGTCCATTCAATTCATTGTTCGCGCCTTCTCCATTATTAGGTATTTCTCCGCGTTAAATATTGAATATCTATTTTCTGAGTAGTCTCGTGTTCACAGCTTTGTGGATTGTGCGGCTATTGTCCAATGCCATTACAAATCTACTTCAGAGGTAATGGTGAAAATCAATCAAACCTGAAGAACTGCTCCACTGCCTGCATAAAATAATAAGATACAAAATGGAAATATAACGCTTATACAAAATAAGGAAGTGAATAAATATTTGAACTATACTGTTTTGGCATATGCTTGTTTGTTTGAGGTCAACTCTTAACCAACCAACCTAAGCTGTTACAGGTGCACTAATGGCTTAATAAAAATTCTATTTTTAATAACTGCTATAAAACAAATTCCTTTGTGTTTCCAAACACCGTGTTTGCCTCATTATATTTTAGATATCTACTCAACCTTTTACACTCAGTTCTTTTGAATCTCTATTTATACAGTACTATATCCACTCGTCGCCATGCTTAAGCCTCGTTTCTTTCAACGTATCAAAATACATATTCACATGAATCAATCTAATTAAAATGAATAAGCCTAAAAAGTCATTCTTTCTTTATTCCGTCATATATCCTATTGTATTTAGAACTGACGGTATCCGCAAACACAGCAGGCATTGATGTTTTGAGTCCGGGAATGTCTTTCTGTTTCATTATGCAAAAGTTCCATACTCTCTTAACTGTTTCCATTTGCGCAGTCCATACAGGTATACTATTAAATCAAGAGGTTCCAAGATGATTCAAGTGATCATTCTAATATCCATAGTCCAAGCCTTTTAATAATAAAACTAGTGAACAAATTAACATAAAACGTCACTACAAATATTGGTGAAACCGTGCAGACATTCCCAAAAGTATCAGTAGAAATTGAACTTTAAATCTGAAACCGTTAGCTTTTCTGTCACCTCAGAGACAGTAATATTATAAGGCATCTTATTTCCTTCGTCCTTTTTAATAGCAAGAACTATTCGAACGGCCAGAATTTGTTTCATACACTCTTGTCTATGTAAGAAAAGCGGTTATTCTCCTTCTCATCCAGCGTGAAGAGTAGACGATATTTTATATATAGACCCACAATGGTAATCAACAGTAATACTGTTGGATTAATAACGCACATCACATGATTGTCTACCCCAAACATCCCTATCGTGTTAGTTAAGGGAGACGTTGCGTAAAAATTACGAAGAGCTAACTTAAAATTATCCATAAAACGGCACATCTTATGTAAAGACGAAAGTTTACATACTGATTACATCTGGGTGCTTGGGCTATGTTGTGTTGATTATGTCCCTCACCAAACCTTATTGCACTCCGTTATATTACATTTACCATTCAACGTCCATTGCTTGAAGTATTATGTAGTGAGGTATCAGTGTTATTCGCTTGTGACTATAAAACTTCCAACTCGTGTCTCCCTGGTGATGCTAGTATAATACATTCTCCCACAAATAAAAATTTGAATGTTACAGTACTTGTCACTGTATATATCGTTTTATGAACCTTTCGCATCTAATAAAAGAAATTCTATCACAATTTTTTATCCTTGAAGCATGAAGTAATCGGTGAACAGTGAAACACCGTCCTGAGTTCACCATTAGGAATTAATTTTCGCAATACTTGTTCATTATTTTCGGTCACACCAGAAAGGATGACTTTACGGAAACTAATGTGGAGAAGGGTAACTAATAAATCGCTTAGACCCAGAATTAAGTCGTGCTCTGTTAGCCGTAAATCATTTAATTTTCAGTACACTTAGTTCACAAGCATAACAGTATATTTTGGGTTCTTGGTTGTTCAAAACTCTTGCCATGAAACATAGTATGTTTAACTAATGGATTCATTGTCAGTAAAGAAAGCTCCCTAGTTTCAAACGCAATAAGAGAGAAACGGAAGTTCATAAGGCACCTACAAACACCAAGGTACTCGAAAACAAAAAATAACTACATCGACTATGAATGTAAAATTTGATGCTTTTTAAGCGACACACCGCATCTATGAGTCAGCTAAAAGTAGCACAAGTTTTTGGTATAAAATTCTTCAGACACTTGTGTTCGGTTATCAAAGATCCGGTCATAACAATTTCAAAAGAAGTTCCTACACTAACTTTAGCCTGATCGTTATTGTAGGAGATAACACAAGGTGTTTCACATTCTTGAAGAATATATAAGGTATTAGAACTCACCCTATCCACAAATCTACCTCTTAAGACGCAAAATTTAAATTCCAAATAACAAACGGTCTATTCTGATGCACGGAGGGAAGAAACTTCAAACTTGGCAACACCGCTTAGCGTGATGTTCTCACATTTGCTAAGCTGAGGCATACTACCAGAAATTTGTAAGCTGACTCACATCACACCGAGTTTCAATGGAGGTAAACGCAACGAATCTTCAAGCTACTGACGGTAGCACTTCTCTCTGTACTCTCAATAATCCATGATAGAGGGCGGTATGCACGACTATTTATTACCTTAAACTTCTTTTCAAATCAACAGAACGGTTTCAAAAAATGTTATCCTCGCATAGCCGAACTGCTGACTATGGTGAAGAGATGGACAATCCTCCTTAATCTCAAGGAGAAGGTTGACGTCATTTATCTCGATTTCTCAAAAGCTTTTGATGGGGTCAACCAAACGATTAGGTATCAAACCATCTTTAACCGATTGATTCACTTCACATCTAAAAATCGATATTTTAAGGTTAGGGTTAATTTTTTAGTGGCTCGTTGATCTGACTTTATTTTAGGTCGTACGAATGTTCGTTATCACCTATCCTCGAACACAATTATCGACTTAATTCACGTTAGTCAATAACGGAATTTAGATTAGTCAATTAATGGGAATGGTCGTTGAATACATATATTTTGTATGTAAAGTGAAAGCGATAGAACAAAGCGAAATGACGCGCAGAGGAGATGGCTGGTAAGCCAATTCATTTTTAGCCAGGCGTTAATCAATATATAAAGGCAGACAAAAATAAGCTACAGACATGTGATGAGTCATGGGATGTGATGTGTACACACATATACACTCAAATAAAAACAGTCAAGACTGACAAGCGAATAATTAACGAGGTCAACACATATGACTCAAATAGAATGAGTAGATTGGTTTGTCCAGAAACTAGAATAAGGTATATGGGCTCAAAATAATGACCGACACTACAACTTCACCTTCTCTCATGTTATGGAATGTTATAGTGTGGTCCCCCACGGTCACGTTCAAGAGCCTTTCCTTCCTTGATTTATGCGAACGATCTTCCACAGCAGGTATCGTCTGAATTATTATTTTTTTCTGATGATGTGAAACTTTGGAGAGAGTGATACGTAACCAAGAGGATAAACTGGCAGTTCAGGGAGATCTGACTCGACTTCAAAGTTGGGCAGATGATGACGGACTTAACTTTAATACTTCAAAGTGTAAAGTAGTCCATCTCAGACATGTTGCGGACTATAGTTACAACTTAGGGGACTCTTCTCTAGAAGTATCTGAAGTTGAAAATGATTTAGGAGTGCTGGTACCCTACGATTTGAAGTCTTACGCTGACTGTGACAAAAATGCCTTCCGAGTAAACCTTGCAATGATAACGTTGAGGCGCATTTCGGTCAGTTCGACGGAGGAAATTTCCACATAATCTCCAGCAGTTTTATTCATCCTTGTTTACAGTGAGAAAACATAGTATTCCTCATTCACCCCGAAAGGATAAAGACACTCTGGAACACACCCAACAGGAGGCCACGAAATCATTTGAGGCACTCAAATTCAAGTCTCATGAAGTGTCTCCAATCACTGAACCAATACCCGTTAGAGTACAGGCGTCCTAGAGGTGATCCTCTAATGGCTTACAGCATCCTTGACACTTCTGGAAATCCTTTTAAACACCTACTTGAGCTTATTTCTAATACAAACCATGAGGGTAACGCCTAGAATCTGGAGACAACTCAGGAGAATTGACTGTAGACAAAAATTCTACTCCTTTAGAGTAGTCAAACACTGGAGTCCGCTGCCAGGTGAGCTAGCCCAAGCGACTTCCCAGGAGTTCTTTGAGAGGAAACTTAGCATACTTTTAAGGACCAAGGACAGTATCCCACTATGTTTTAACAACCTTTTTTCTCTTTCCTCTTTCATCGTTAACATACCTACGTTCCTGTCTAGAGGTGTCTGTGATTCACTGCTATTAGATACGGAAACTAGTTAAGCGAAAGCTTCTTCTATTCCGTCCAGAACCATCTAAACCATTTGGTATCAAACTATTAGAAAAATGTACATCGAAAAGGCAGATTATTTGAGGGCTACGTTGCGGTAATTTGCTACACACATGTCTGATCAGCTAAGGTCGTGAGGGATTTGATCATTTCACCGTATTATGTATTTCGTGCCTCCCCAGCAGTCTAGTATTACAAGTGAATTTGCTATGTTAGATTTAGATGATAGATAAATTACACTGAGTACTGTATAACATACGTTATCCAATCTAGATTGTATACTATAACAGGATCAAATTCTAAATTTTATGCAAAAGTTAGAATTTGACCCTGTTATATTATTGCTAAATAAGTAGTTTATGGATATGCTTTTATGTATAGCACATAATTTCACTGTTTTCAGACCTCAGCAACAACCACGGTAGGTTAATATCCATGGTAACGTTCCCAGTGTTCGTTGTAAAAATAAAATTTCTCCGTCTAACCATTCACTGGTAACGCTGATGTCTATTCTTTTGATAGAGCGTTTCAGTAGTTAATTAACTGATTGGGAACACGGATTCTTAACTTAGGTCAAGATCAGCTGATCTTGTTTGATCGTAATTTTCTGATATCTATTTCTGTAGTAGCTTTAGATTATGGTATCTGAAGAGCAAACAGAATAAATACGTTGATACAGAGTAGTAATGTCCTGCCGTTTATCATTCTAGTATGTTATGGAGAAAAGTGCTCTAATGATCCAATTATTGGTCACCACTTACCATAGGACTGAATCTACTTAGGTCGAAGGCTCCGGATGTGGCCCCCAAGAAACCCATCTGCTTCGGTTTGGGCACCCGGTTACTTTCACAGCCCACACACAAACCATGTGGCGCGTGTGTATTCGGTGCCCCTATGTAGTAATATTTGTGTGTTCAAAAAACCGACAAGTGCTCGTTCGAATCCATTGAGAATTTAGATCCACATACCTGTCTAGAAACACTATGTTCTCCCCTGTAATGCAAATTTTCAGAAGCTATGGTCTAGTTTAATGTATGCTGGCATTCCGTGAGCAGATAAATCCTAACTACTTTCAAGATGTTGCTCTAAACATAATCACTGGCCTTCTGACAAAAAACATGTCTGTGAGAAATTAAACTGACAATTCCACCGACTTAACACCAGAAGGCTCTATTCGTTCATCTGTTGTCCTCAATATGTCACTTGTGTGTAAATAAATTGTTAGTTATAAAGTTCGGCCAAGGTCTGTAAAGTAAGTAAACCGGTCACTAAATGGAGTAATAAACACTTTTTGACTCTAGTTGTGATGACTTATTGTTCATTTTGAACTACCGACTTACTGAATTACTGCAGAAATTCCAAAACAAAAATCTTCGTCATTAAATGAAGACTTCTTAACAATCTACGAAATTTGTCGATGTTGATTTTATGTAAAAAGCTATTAAGTTTGAGAAAGCTCTGATACAGCTGAGGGTCGAGATTTTATGACCTCTCTAAGATATTTACTGCGTTCAAATCAATAGGATGTCGCCTACGAAAATTAGAAGGGAAAAACAGACGTCTGTCATGAGCCTACGCTAACAATCACTATGCAGTGTCCCGTCAGAAGTGACTGAAAAATTTGTATCGGAGTAGTTCTATGGATGCTGATAGTGGTGTGACAGATGAAATCAATTTACAAATAGTGAAAGCGTAAGTGGCTTATGCTAGTATGGCCTATCTTTGAGACCGTCATGATGTTAACCTGCTTTGAAAGGTCGGATCAACAATGTGTCAGTGAGGGAAGTTCTACTCTACGCTTACAGAATCTGGTCTCCCCCTGTTGAGTTTGTTTAACTACTCGCTGTGTTAGATAATCGTTGGTGACATCCAGTGCCAACACATCATGTGTGTAATTCTGAAGTACGTCAATATCTGCTTAAGCACGGTGACGACGATCCAGTTGGTGTCACCATTAAAGCACTGACTGTATTCTTTCTTTTATCCCATCCCCCCTCCGTCTCTTCTTTCTTCAAAACTATGTCTTTTGATTTGTGTGGCGCAGTTTATTTTTCGGTGCTAGGTTTTACCAGACTCTATGTGAAGTAAGTAGTTGGTAACTAAGGTTTTCAGGATGCTTTAAATTAAAGAGCTAAAACACATATGCAATCATATAATTGATAAGAATGACAGATTTATGCATTCAATAACTGTAAATCATTTCTTATTTACTCATATTACTGCGATTGGCTCTGACAATTATTTTCGTTCACATACTCTTTTAAAATGCAATGACATTTAAGTTGTTATGAATGCTTGAAGCTTTTGAACTCTTACCCTAACATACATTTTTTAAATATTTGTTAGGACATTAAAAATATTCAGGTCTAAATTATATTTATTTTGTACACTGCCGAATAACTTGATTAACTTATTTCGTGGTTATTAGTAACTGAATTACAGTTATTCTTTACTATATTATACATTGATTTCTCAATCACCTCATATCAGTTTTGTTCTGGAAAAGCTTTTGATAAACCTGTTTGCTTATTCAAATTTCAGGTAGCGGTTGGTATTCAGAAGATTATATTCATTCACAATCATGGTATTTGTTAGTAAGTTATCCACTCAAGTTTTACTTGTATTTAAGGTTGGTCCAGTGATGGACTGAGGATATACGAGTTAGATGAAAATAAAGGGATTATTCAATTGGAACAGTATGTTTGAATATTTTCCATAAAGATATTTTAGCAAACCATCTACAACTGTGAAATGTTTATCTATCGCAAAGTCAAGCATGTGGATGGGTTACCTTGATGAAACTAGGTAAGGATTATTTAGTTTTGCTTTATACGTCACAGTGTAGTTATGCTTGACGTCAATGATCGATCTGTCGTTTCCACTATCCCTGTTGAGCCAGCTTCACGGATTCAACTATCACCGTGTGGAAAATTTGGATTCATCTACACGTCATTTAAAAGTAAGTTTTATTCCTTAGTTTATAAACTTGATTTTAATGAATAATAGTCGACAATGAACATCCATCTGGTTCGCCAAATATATTTGTGTATGACATGATCAATAGAACAAAGCTCAAAGAGTATATTTTCCGAAGAGGTGATGGATGGTAAGCTTTTATTATTGATACGAATGATTCGCATTATTCATTTAACTGAAAATAATCTTCCCATCCTTTATCACAAATAAAATTACAGCCAGTAGTTAATGTTTCCTTTTTGAACTGTTATGATTAGATAGGCTATAACACTTTGTTTGACATTCTTCTTACATATAATCAGTCATCAAGCAACATTTATGCATTAACGTAATTAGATTACTAATAATTAAAATTTATATATGACACTATTGTTAACTAAAAAATGTAATTACCTTCACTCGTGTATGTTTAACACATTGTAACAAACTTTATTTCTAGTTATATTTAAACATCTCAACTGAGTTATAGATCACACATTTTTTGGATGAATGTTTATACTTAGCCTACATGTTTACATATAAATAGGATGGTAGAGTTAAAGCCTTTCAGCAAATAAACAAAAGTTATTTACTACTCCATCCCATTCGGAATTTGTGGGCAACCGGGAAGTGATAACCGCCATCATACCTCTAACAACACTCAAGACCACTGTATTCATAATCAACCTCCGTCCTCACTTCCTATTATTCCTACTACATCGCCTCCAAACTCTAAACTTCCTCTTTCGGCTTCCTCCTCAAGTGTCACCATAGCCAACGGTTCTAGTGCACAAAACACTCCCAGGTCCACTGAAACCTCGCTCCAAACTACACATTGGAGCCTTCAACGTACGCACCCTATGTCAAATCGGTCAACAGGCTTCCTTGGCTAGAACCCTAGAATCTCGTACCATTGATGTATGCTGTGTCTCTGAAACACGCATACAGGATCCCAGTGTGGTCATTCACTTGACCTCACCTTGGCAACACGGAGAGCCAACGAGATACACCCTCCGTGTATCTGGTGACCCGACGGCCAGTTCTCGTGGACTGGCAGGAGTAGGGATAGCACTAAGCATGAGGGCGGAACAAGCACTGTTAGAGTGGATCCCCGTCAACAGTCGTTTATGTGCTGTTCGGCTAAACGGCTCCGTAAGAACTCGGAAGGATAGGGACACACGTCGTTGCCTTTTTGTCGTTTCTGTCTACGCTCCCACTGACTGCAGCTTGGATTGAAGTGAAAGATGAATTTTACAGAGAGCTATCTGAACTTCTTCAGAAAGCTAAACGTTCAGACAAAGTACTCGTAGCAGGTGACTTTAATGCCCAGATAGGTAGTTTAAATCAAACAGAAAGGCATTTAAGTGGGTATTTTAGTATTCCGGCACAACGAACAGATAGTGGTGATTGTCTGCTGCAATTGTGCTCAGACAATCGTTTATTTTAGCAAACACAAATTTTAAGCATAAGGAGAGACATCGTCTAACATGGAGACCCTTTACACCAAACCAACGATGGACTCAAATAGACCATATTGCCATTAGTCATCGTTGTAGAGGGTCGGTAGAAGATTGTCGCTCATTCTGGAGTACCTGCTTGGACTCCGACCACGCTCTAATATGGGCACACATCTGCTTGCGCCTCACTGGACGCAAGAAAGCCACAGTGAAAAGACCCATTAGAATTGAATTGTCCTGTTTGTTGAAGACGCTGATAAAATGCAGTCTTTTGGTAGCACTGAGCAACAATGCCAGAATGTTTGGAATGCGCTTTTCCTCCTCTAAATGCAAGTTATTTCTTCAGGACTGGCCTGCATCAACACATGAACTAAGGACAGGCAGTGAAGTAGTCGGAAGCATCCACAACTTCACTTATCTTGGAAGCCTGACCAACCCTAATGAGTTAATGTCTGGAAAAATCTGTACGCGGATCCAAAAAGTTCTTTTGGCTTTTGTTAACTTACGTCACCTATGGCGAAGGCGAGATATCCGTCTATCAATTAAGGGACGAGTATACTGTGCGGCAGTCCATTCTTTTCTAGTTTACGGTTGCGAAAAGTGGCCATTAATAGTAGATATTCGTGATTTACTAGTATTCGACCACAGATGCCTTAGACCATAGATGCCTTGCTCGCATCTTCTGGGATCACTGGGTAAGTAATAGTTAGGTTAGACCTAGGGTATTAGGGAATGATGGTAAACCAGTTAATGAGGTTATAAATCTACATCGACTGAGATGGTTGGGCCACGTGTTGCGTATGCCTGAACACCGATTATCACGATGCGCAATGCTAACCGGTGTTGGGGATAGTTGAAAGAAATTTCGGAGCGGCCAAACCAGAACGTAGTATCAGTGCTTAAAGTCACTAACTTCTAGTCTGAGCCATGTTGGTAGATGCAGACTACTTGGTTGGGGTACACGTGACTATCGTAACCATTGGTTGGAGACTCTTGGTGACATGGCTCAGAATCGGTCACAATGGTGTCGGTGTATACACTTTCTGTCTTCTCTTAAACTAAGAGATTAAAATCACTTCATATCTTTTTTTCTGCTAACTAATTCTTTCTTCCTGTGCTATATCCTTATACACAATCTTTCTTTTACATATTACCACCATTGACTTAACCACTCCTTTGAATCTGGTGTTCATCTTGCTGTGCTAATGATGTATGGCAACGTGGACCGATGCATATATGTGCTTGGTCCTACGTTGTAGCTGACTGACTGTTTGAGCAAAGGTAAAAGGCCGCTTCACCTACCCTATTTCAGGTAACTCTGAACTGTGTCACTTAATGTCTCTGATGATGTGCTACGATAATCGCGCGGACCCTAACTAGGTAGTCTGAAGCTGTCCACACAACTCATTTCAACAGCCAGTGACTTCATGGACTGATGTCATATTTTGATTTGCTCACCCTTATCTTCCAACCTATTCCTTCACTATCTCTCGTCATACATCAAGTTAGGCAGTGGATACACACACGTAACACATGTTTAACCAGTCTCAATCGATAAATATCCACTACCTTATCAGTCGACTTGTCATCCTTATCTAGTACTTTGCGTCCAACTTCAGACTTGCTAATTCAATAATCTCAACATGTGCGAGCAATGCTTCTAAGTCATCTGTAGTCAACTTTTAGCAACCCGCAAACATCTAAAAACTTCCATGTTGACAGAATTATTGTTTTCAAATATTCTAATTAGAGTTTCATTTGCTCTGATCTTCTGTTATTCCAGTTTTTATTGCATGCCAATATATATTGTTTCTTTATTGTAACATAAACTGAATTGCTTTTATTGGTATGATTTCACTAAGCTATTTATAAACTAAGTAATTCAAATATGTAAATTAAACGAATCATGCGAACCTTTGTTGATAAGGCTACAATTTTTCGGGAAGGTATGTTGACCAAGAGCGGACCTTGGTGTCATAACCAACCTAAATGTTCGCATGATAACCACACTGTCTTTGATTCGATTCCTTAATTCTCTCATATATTAAATTTACTAGGCAACCACAATGGAATTCTGATTCATCCTTTTGCTCGATTTTTGTCAATGGAGAAATTCATATGTATACAAACAATCTATTTTGTGAGTTTCCATGTGAAAATTGTACTTAATTTTGCTAAATCACTTAGCTTTTGCAGAAGTAAATGGGAGTAGTCCCTTATCCTTTAAACGAATAATGACCATATGTTTACTAGTGATTGATTTTGAGAGTAGCTTCTCAGACTTTGAGTGAGAAAGTGTTACTCACCAACAGCATTGTATAATGGTTGCACAGTTTCCCAAATTGGTCGGATTTAAAAGTGTAAACCTTTGGATATCGACTTGGTAGTCTAAAAACTAAGTGTGGTTGGGTCATGCATTCATACTGCTGAGGAGTTTCATACTGGAAAGAAAACCTGACCTGTGTTTACTGGGTCTTGGTGGTTGTCTAAGTTCAGTTCGTGATGTAACCTACAAATTTCAAAAATCTCCATAAACCACCATATTAATCAGGCGTACTTATAATTTTATTCATTATATCTATCATCTTACTTCCTTACTTACACCTGTTACTCCCAATAGTGGATAGGCCGCCGACCAGCATTCCCCAACCCACTCTATCCTGGGCCTTCTTTTCTAGTTCCATCCAATTCTTGTTCATTTTTCTCATGTCTATTTCCATTTCTCGGCATAATGTGTTCTTTGGTCTAATTCTTTCCCTTTGGCCTCGAGGATTCCATGTGAGGGCTTGTCTTGTGACGCAGTTGGATGCCTTCCTCAATGTGTCTCCTATCCACTTCCAGCGCTTCTTCCTCCGCTAGGATCTGGTTTGTTCTCTCCCATAGTAGGCTGTAACTGATAGTGTCCGGCCAACGGATCCGAAGTATGTTACGTAGACAACTGTTAATAAACACCTGTATTTTCTGGATGATGGCTTTCGTAGTTCTCCAGGTTTCCGCCCCATACAGTAGGATTGCCTTGACATTTGTATTGAAAATCCTGACCTTGGTGTTGGTTGAACATTGCAATATACGGCCCTTAATTAATCCAAAGGTAAAAATATTTTATTTTTCTTTGCAACCAAACTGAGGTTCAATATTTGTCGGCTACATTTTAGAATTCTTTATCAAGTGTCCCATGTTTTTGAAGCATTAAATTAAATACCAGAGCTTCACTCGAATGGCTAGAAGCGGTATAAATTAACTTGCTAATTTTATTTTACGATAATAGTTTTTTGTTTTAAAGTATTCTCTCGATTTAAAAGTTTTTGTAAATTCGTGATTATTTACCTGAAAATAATGTCGAAGATTTCTCTAGACAACGGCTATTTTGATGTTTATTGCTAATGTTTCAGGCTATTGGTTTAGTCCTGATTTAATCATAGTTGTAGCGTTGCTTTCGGTCTTCACGGATAAGTATTGAATGTTTATGAGCTAATTTAGATTAGCTTCCAAACCATTGTGTTTTTTTCAGTTCGGTAAACATTTCCAATCAAAATTCTCACGTTGTTTTGTCTGTTCTGTGTGCCATCAATTTATTTTTAGTTAAACTGATTACATTACTAGCGAGTAGCATAACGTTTTACATGGTGATTTGTTAACCGGAATAATACCCTGAAACACTCATAAAATTTTGTCGAAAATAGAGTAATCAATACTTGATTGATGATTTCTTATGTTTTATTGAATTTCGTTCCAAATATTTTCGTCTAATATATAAGTGTAGTGAATTATAGTAATGTATAAATCATAATGACTTTTATGGACGAAAAGGCTTTTATATGAACATTTGCCTATGGAATTTTTGGTTTATATTTGTCTTTTTAGAAAGATTTCGTCTACATAATATAATAGAGAAATATCTCAACTATCGTCTCATACGCCAGAGCAGAATTTGGTTGATAGGTGGCTTTTTAAAATCGTTCACCTTAAAGCAGTTACTTGTCCCATTCATAGAATATTACTGTAATCCAGTTAAAACTGTAAAAGGCGATTACAACTGATGATCATAATCTACGTTTTGTATGCACATTTGATTGATTAGTATATAGGTCTACTAGATTGCTTGGGATATGTGTCTGATTTGCTGCTACTACGTTAAATCCATCCATGTTGGTGCAATCTGTGATATTTTTGACGTAATCATTTTGTTTGTACGTCTATAAAGAATTATTCAGAAACTGGAAAAATATAACGGGTTCCATCCCTTTAATTATACCTTCGTAAAATCAGTCTTTAATAAATGATTTATACTTTCCACTACCGATTCTCAAATTTTGTTTATTATTCCCCTCATTCATGATCTTCATCATTTTGCCAATTTAATTCATTCTAGCTACCTTGCTTTCTTTCTTTTTCTAGTTTTGCAATGTCGAGGTTTTCTCTAGATAATTATGTAATTACTATCTACTTTTTGTAAGCAAACATATGTTTTTTTAAAACAGAATCTACTTATCCTAACAGCTTAGGTGTAGTGTACTGTTACTACATTAAATTCATTGGTTTTGATCATTGCTTACCAATCACCTCTATTTTATTTCATTCTTCATCTCAGTTGTTAATTTATCAATAGCATTATTTTATACTTAATTATCTGGTCGTAGTGTTCTAAAAATATAGTTAAGAATATTCTTTGGTGTAGTTAGCGTATGGAGATTCGCTCAATTTATAGGTGACATTCATCACAGATTAACTTCAGTTGATATTTAACTAGTTCAATATTTCTTCAAATCAGTGGGTTAGTAATTCTGGTGATGAGAACACTCGGATATAAACTAAATCATATTCTATCTATTATTAGGTCAGTATATAGTACTACTAGACCTCGTGGAAAATTTGTAGCTCAGAGTTTACTGGGTTACGTTATATTAGTCTTGGAATCGCGAAAAATACTGAACTCATGAATAATGCTGTCTTTGTGACTATCCAAAATCAATAATTTAAAAGAAAATAATATTTTAACTGTTTTCACATAATTTCCTTCGAATTATTTTCATACGAACACCTGGTAATATTTATTGCCATTTTGTCTCCATCACTAAATCTCTAATTCCACAAACCGTATTCATGGTCAACTTTCCCATATATCCAATTGGAAGATCACAAGTTCAAATGAATAGTCCCGAGCACATACTATTAACATTCATGATTTACATGATTATATCTAAGTAAATTTTCAAAGTAAAGAATAACTCAATGTATGAATTTTATTAAATACATAACAAGAACGCTTAGACTGCACATTTAACTGACTGTAAATATCAGTGGATAAAAGATATTAAAATAATTACTGACAGCTTAAATATCATCATTCAGTTACTAAAATAATCACCATTAGAAATATACAGATTAATTCTTATCAGAAAATATGTTCATATGTTTCATGCGTCTTTTATTTTCCTTTTTTTCCAACAATCAAACAAATAATAGTTTTAAACTAGTTTATGTGTACTCTTATTTCATTTTTGATGGATCTTAGTTCTCTGAGCTGGATGCTTACATTCCCCAACGAATTTTCACTTATTTTAAAGAAAATTTATTATATTTTATATTCTTGTCTTCTTTAAGGCAATAGATGTTTATAAGCTTATAAGTTTTATGGAGTCACAAATTTTATACATACCCAACTTATTCAAAATTCAGATCCATCAAATCAATTAAGTCACCGACAAAGTAGAAAAAATAAATACAGCTTCTATAGTAAAATTGGATTAATTTTACTGTGAGCCTTGAATACATGTTTCATTGTAGACTTCTCTGATTCCCAATCAATTTAAATTTTTCACTAAGGTTTACTAACTGAGATCTTTTGAGCTGGTGGCGAATATTTGTAATTCAGATGGATAAAGTTTGTGCCGATTATGTTGTTCAGAAGAACAATGAAAGACCCATGATCAAATCCATCCAGCTTAGAAAACGGAACTCCACGAAAAACTGAAATCTTTTACATAAGAGTTCTTAAGATGTGTTAAACTTCAAGTAGGAATTTTGAATGCTATGTATAATTCTACTTATTTAATTTGAAAATGTCCTTGTACATTTAACGTGTTCAATTTAAACTTCTTTTTTTCAGCTGAAAAACCGTATACTAAATTATCACTAAAAGGTATCCGCCATTTTTCTATGAGTACTTCAAGTCAACCAAATCTTGCAGTGTATATACCCGGGGAAAAGGTAAATAACAAGACGAGGCGTTTATATGCAATCTACTTTTCCTTAAATAAGATCGCTTCTAAACAACCAAATTATCCATATTTTAATGTATTCAAGGTGTTCAGTAAATAATTTCTTAAAAGAATCTTGCATAGGGTATTCCTTTATCACCTTCGCTTCCGTTGGTACCGGTGTAATTTCTTGAGAATCTATTACGTATCTGAGGGATTTTAATGATTTTTTTTCGAGTTTGATCACTATAACATATTCACTCAAACTTTCAAATAACTATGTGAGGTTTTGCATAGGTTCCTCAGCCATTTTGCTTATTACTAATAAATCGGAATACGGACCTCGCCAGTAAATCGCTAAAATGTATGCACTTCAGTGGCGTTGTCGATCGGTATTCTGAAAAAAATTGTGTAGGTCAGACGGGATTGTGATTGCTGTCTTCGGGATTTTGGGTGATATCGGAATATGATAGTACTGTTGTATATGCTACTTATATTGACATCAGTAGTATATTATGTTAGTCGTAAACAGGTCTGGCAGCAGAGAGATCGAAAGATAATGCAATTTGTATGAAAATGCAAGAACAATGAAGTCTGAGTCATTTTGAGACAATTGATGGACATTTCGCAAATTGAGCATTTACTTTATGATTGTTAGATTTTATTAACAAGTCCTGTAATTTTGTGTTAAATACATTCGATTGTTAGTATAGGGGTTGTGGAGATTATTAAGTTTTTGATTGAGATCATGAACCGATTAATGTTAGACCATCACAATTGAAAACCTGGAAGCACTGGACGGCCGTTTCGTCCTATTGTGGGACTCCTCAGCAGTGCGCATCCACGATCCCGCGAGCGGTTCATGATCTCAATCAAAAACTTAATAATCTCCACAACCCCTATACTAGTAATTAACATGTGCTCACTAGTGACTAGCTTCGTGAGGGAATTCTCGGAGTTCTAGTGAGAAGCCGTGATCAGTGGAGCTAATCCTTGTCGGGTAGAGACAGGTATCTACCTCAGTACAATGGAAGTTGGTCGCGCAATTTCGTGGATTGGTTGATGTTAGAAACTATCACCATTGGATGCCGGCTCAGTGGTCCAGTTGGTTAAGCGTTCGCGCGCGAGACCGAAGGCCCTGGGTTCGAATCCCGCTCGCGGGATCGTGGATGCGCACTGCTGAGGAGTCCCACAATAGGACGAAACGGCCGTCCAGTGCTTCCAGGTTTTCAATTGTGATGGTCTAACATTAATCGGTTCATGATCTCAATCAAAAACATTCGATTGTCCCCACCCGTGTTCTGTTCACTACAGCACGCCCAAACTAATCTACTTTTGGAGAATATACGAGTTACGTGCATGTCGCTATTGAAATTGTCGATATGTGATGTAGAATATCTGTCCGCTATTGTGCGATAATCGCCACATGACCGAATGTTTTCCACTCTACAGCTCCATATGCAATGGAGAAGACCATAGGCTGCTCGAAAGACGTATTCTGCCCATTTTCAGTAGCTTACCCAATTCTTCTTTATGTGCAGTCTCTTCGGACCTAATCTAAGTGGTTTAGCATTAACAAGTGGACCTTTCGTATTAATGTTGTAGGTAACAAGGTGTTAAACTCCTGAATTGAACTACATAGCTTTATCTACCTTCGGAAACCTTTCTAGTAGTTTAAAAAAAGAGTCTTGATATCTATTTGTTTTTATAAAAGTCATGAATATCGATTCGGTTATATGACTTCATTAATTATTGCTTCTCTTTTAGAAGTTACTAACCGGTTACACTTAGGACTTACTATTAAATTGACATGCAAAATATCTCTCTCGATGGTGGTTATAGAGATATCTTATGCCATATTCTTACACCGGAACGATTTACGAAGAACAAGATTCAATATCAACTGTCTTGTTTTATTATTCGGTTCGCTTACAGGACACAAAGCTACTGTTGACTCAAGGCTATGTTTTCCCCCTTGATGAGTGTCACAGCACTACAGAAAATTGTGCACCCGTTGCTTGTTAAAGAGTGCCTATTTCGTTCATCACTCCTCTCTATCCTACTCTGTGTCTGTAAGGCACGAAGTTAAATGTTGTAGTTATCTAGTCATGGATACCTTTTTAGGACTTCTATTGTATAGTGGGACCATAAAGAAAACAATCTTAAGTTTCTGTCCTGTTTCAATCAAACTTGATTAGTCATTCGGTGAAGTTGTAAAAATGTACTAAGTGAATAGCATTACTGGATGGTAAAGCTCTACGCTGAAATACATCTATGAGTGATGAAACCGTACCATGATATTATTTCTTTTGGTCACTAACTATCGATCTTAGTTATATAAAGATATAAAGGCTTTAAAGATAAAGTCATCAAATTGGTAGGAATCAGTGAATAGTTTGATCTCTTAGATTCATGGTTCTAGATAATCATTCATCATTGGGTAGTCACCAGCTATTATCAGAATTTGTCCATTTTCAGTGTAGTGGACGCTACCCACAAGATTGTTTATAAGTAATATGTTGCAGAACGTGACCTTAAGGTTTTAGGACGGAGTGAAGAGTTTCAGTACAGTGAAAGCACGGCATTGACAGAACAATTGGAGATCAGATGCGAAGGCAGTTCAGCTTTGTAACTTCACAATAAATATGGATTCCTTCTTTAAATAAATATTTAATCTAGAGCTTAGAATCCTGGGTAGTTTGAACTGCATGTTTGCTAGGAAATATATCTTATATTAACATTTAATACACCTTCAATATTTTAATATTTTGTTTTTTCATTGTTTTTTGATATAGAACCAACCTTCTTTTGTCAGAGTTTATCAGTGCCGTGATAATCAACTGATTCATATTGCAAACAAATCGTTTTTCCGTGCTGATACAGTCCGACTATTATGGAATGATAAAGGAACTGATTTACTCATACTTACTTCAACAAAAGTAGTTCATATTATATGTGTTATTATAACTATTCGTACCTTTTTCACATGCCATATTGTTTGGTTATTTAACTTTTAATATGTAAGGGGTTCATGAAAATTATGGAGCTTCCTAGTTTACATCACAAATTGGCTTATATTATTAATAATAATCATGTCCTCATTAATAACTAATTCTAAGAGATGTTCTTCGGAGTTTGGATGAGACACTATGATCAACGATAGCTGGGGAATGTCGAAAATTAATCGAGCCTATAAATGTAAACCAGTATATCTTGACTCAATATTCTAAAGATGAACTACTTACCGTGAAATTCTAAGGTCATGGTTTCGATCCCGGTATGATCGTGATTGTTCACTTACGAGAAATTGTATGATAGAATATGGCGGCTGTTCAGTGTTTATTGAATTTCAATGGTTTTCTAACTAACGGCAAGCTGTGGTATGTTAAACCTTTTTTTCACGAATTTTTCTCATATATGTGCTCACTTTTAATTATTCTGGATTTACTTCCTTCTAGATTAGTGACCGAAGGTAATTTTTCTCCTAGCACGCAACCCTAGCCGATAAAACTTTAATTCCCAAATAAAAATTATCGATTTACTTATATTCTCTCTAACTCAACTGGTTTATTTTACTTATCTGGTATGTATAACGAACTGGTAAAGTCTTGCGTATTAAATTGCCTTAAGTTTAAATCTACTATCCACTGCAAATTTATTAAGTTTTATCATCTAGCCTTAACAGACTAACATACATGATTTTTAGTGGTTTGAACCACCGTGTTGTTGATAGGTCGACCGAATTTTTGCCAGTCTTAGTTTATGTGCATCATGTGCAAACTGCCTCAATTTAGCTTTCATGATACACGTTTATGTAGAATAGATGAAATGTGGCTACCAGCGGTATCCAGGTACATTCAACTGATAAATCTCAAGCGAGACGAAACGTTTTTTCTGGGTTCTACTGCTAGCAATATTCCGTCCATTCGACATAGATGATTCCACTGCTGGTTAAGTATTAGTTCGGCAACTAAATACCCCTTCATTTTCTAAATAAAGATTTACTCTTAAAATTTTACCTATTCAATCATCAGCGGAATTTCTTACGGATTTTTCGTAAGTGATTCTATAAACCACAAAAGGTTCTTCAAGTTGAATTGAAATAATATATTGAGGCAACAATCTGATTTTGTAACACTTGATTTCTATGGTATATTTTTATTTATATATGGTATTCGTCAGGACATAAGTCAGAGAAACAATGAGAACCAGGAAGTACTGAAGGGACTGTACTTTCCTGATACGGAAATCACAAATGTGAATACACAACCCTGCCAAGAATCAGAACCATGACCTTCAGATCTCGTGACAAACCCTTAAACTTTTGGTCACTGATTTGGAATCTAGTGGTTCATATTCAAGCTTCGATTTTGGGTTTAATGTCGTGGATGTAAAACTGTTGAGAATACCTATATCAAAATTTTTAAAGATGACTAGCTTTTCATTAGGTTATTGTTTATTGTCAAGAGATATCCACAAGTGAAAAACCTATATACATCATCATATTCGGTAGTTATAACAATGTTTTCAATCTCAATTATCATGTTAAGTTACTGTTTATTCATGGTACTTCTGATAGTCTAGATCAGTGTTAGTATCTAGCATACTTCATTTCTTTATTATAACATTCTGCTATCTATTAACTATTATTTTCAATGTATCGATTACTATCCACCATCAGTAAACAGTTACATGACACTTGGGATCCATAATTTTTTCAGTATTTTATTTGATTTTCTTGTTGAAGCATTGTATGTTTTGATATCCAGGCATTAAGAATTTATTCTACGTGTCTTGTTTACGGGTTACTGACTTTCCGTCCACGGTCATATGATATCAAGATTACAGAGCTTAATAATGGTCACATGTTTTAATGACAGTATACAAATATAAGTATTATTGCATTTGTAATTATCATGTACATAGTTGGTTATAAACCCTTTATTTAGTCAGATATTCAAGCATTGTCTATAGTAACTTTAGTTGTTCTTACTTTTAAATAGAGTCATTGGGCCTCGTACTAAACACACCACTTTGTACACAATCATTACATATTACCACAAAGCCTAAACGTTTCAATTTTCATACTATCTACCGTCATAGTTGTACACTCTCAAGAAATCCTGCAAAAATAAATTTTAAACGATACAGCTAACCAGTGATTCTTGATTTTAATGGTTCTCCCACTGATTTCTATTTGTTGCAGAGTAGTTCACCCACTAAACTGTATGTTGTATCTGGTTTTCTCTCATTTTCTCATTGCGTTCTCTTCATTTCTTTTCTAAGCTTAGTGATGAAAGTTATTATGGGGATCAAGGTCTTTATTTTATATCAGCTAGTCGATCCGGTGATAGTGCGATTGTTCCAATGCCACGTAAAGGTCCAATTTATCAAATAGCTTTTCAACCAACAAATTATTCATCTTCTATGGTGAAAAAGAATAAAAATAAAAAAATTGAAGAATATTTTGTTGTTTGTTATGGATGTAAGTGATTCTTTTTCTTTTCAAACATGTACTACTGGTTTGTTTACATTAACGATTATTTTTTTACAGAATGGACAGCGAATATGGAGTTGTACATCTACCTTCTTACTTTGACCTGTTACCACCCCTCTTGAGAGAGTTATAGGCGCTATATCACACATCTCTAAACAACTCTCTCCTGGTCTCTTGTTTCCAGCTATCACCAACTACAATTAATGATCTTGATATATGTCTCCAATGCCCAACAGCATGTGTTCTTCGGTCTGTCTGTTTTCCTTTAGCCTTGAGGATTCCAAGTTAGAGCTTGCCTTACTATACAGTTTGACCGTTTCCGTAAACTATGTCCTACCCACCTCCACTATCTTTTTTAACTTCCTCCTCAACTCCCAGATTCTCTCCCATAGTCAGTTGTTGCTAATGCTATCCGTTCAATTGACATTAGTTATCTTGCGTAGACAATTGTTTATCAATACCTGTTCTCTGTGTTGTATTTCAGGACCTTGCTGTTTCCTTTGTGTATGTTGAGGGCCCAATGGAGTTGGTCTATCCTCTCACATCTTGTTTTCTTTCAGCTTTTTATGCTTTCATTTCTAGGTCCTCCACATATTTTTGCTTATCACCTGTAATGCCTTTCATCCTGTTGTAACGGGTGAGACTGCAGGTTTTGATAAGCAGCGTTTATTTATCGATCGATCACAGTGACAGGTAAACACGTAGTGGACGACCTAGTGCCCTGATTGGTCCTGCTTCCCTGTCTATCCCAGCCAGTTGAGTCAAGAACGCAAGTCACGGCCTCTGAGTTATGAATCATTATATTCCAAACATACTTTGTTTATATACCATTCAAGCATACCACATCGTACCATAAAAATAGAAAACAACATTTTGTACAATATTCAACAAGTGAACAGATATCGACCAATAGGAAATGTCCATTTAAAGTCCAAGGACACCATTGGACTTAACATCATAATTATTGGTCTATTCCTTCGCATCCACAACACCTCGCCTTTTTTTGAAGATCCGTAGTTGATATCCGGATTTTGAAATTTTCTGTGTTCATCCTCCCCCACGAAATAATGTTGGGTCCTTATATCCCCAAGTTAAAATTAATTTGACTTTATTTAAGACATAACTGTCACATGGAACACAGAAGTCACTAAAAGTGATTAAGTAGTGTGGACCAACGTCGCTTGATATGAGGTCATCAACGTTCGATTCTTCTGGAACATTATCATAGAATTCCTTGAAAATCTCATTTGTGGATAGTTGACCAGTGGGATAATTAACATCTATCAAAATTGTATTAAACTTCTGACCATCATTTGGTGCATCTAAAACATTTTCTGGTACAAGAGGATCTAGATAATTATATTCATCAGAATCTCCTGTTGTTAACTGATGAGGACCGTTTGGAGCAGCTAGACTCAGTATACTGCACGATTTGTTTCCTGTTTCCTTGTGAGAGGGTACAACACATCCATATGTTTGCTTCTGTATATTCGGCCTGTACCTTGAATTTCTCTCCTCTTGTTTTTCTTGTTGATTACTGTCTCCTTGGTATTTTTTTATTTCTTGCATCTTACTTAAGATAACTAAAGAGATCCACTCTTTATAATGGTGCTTCTTACATACCGGATCTTTCAGCCATGTCGAAGATAGTTCTTCTTTAATCTCTATCTAGTTGTTCTTCTGGTAGATTGTGTAATGCTTGGGACTTGCTTTTTCAAGTTTAATTGGTTTCTTATGATTAGAAATTTTGTTTAGGAGCTTTTTTTGATAGGTGTGGATGCTAACTCCGTCTTCAACCCTCCCTCTTTACACTGGCCTATGACTGGAAGTAGCCGTAGAGGCGTTCCATACTTACTTTCACTATGAACCGTCATAATTCTTCTAAATGAAGATCGTTAAACTCGGAGGACGGAGTTTAAATAATTTAGTTTGTTTATTCTGGTTAGTGTTTTTTTTTAGCAAATTTGTTTTCTACGCGATTGGATTGCTGACCCCATGCCCAACCCTCCTCCTTTAATCGAGCTTGGTACCATCAGTAACCCCATAAGAGCTACAGGTGGAGTTCGAGGAGCTCCATACGTAGTTATTTAATAGTCATAGAGGTTTACATTTGAGATAATTTAGCTATTACTGCAGTATAATCTACTCATTCAACAGACACAGATCTCTTCTTTTCTTGTTTGATGTAACTTTACAATCAAAATGAATATGGTGTCTAGAAACTATTGTATAAGCTGAATATATCTATCCGTAATGAAATTCTTAACATTCTCTATCAAATCAATGTACTTATCATGTGACCATTAATTAATAGATTTGATAACCTGGTAAATCTAGTTATATTGTAACTAATTCTTTTTTAATATTAAGAATCATAATTAAATCAGTTGTCAGTTGTTGTTGTTGATTCTAATCAATTGGTTATTGTGAAATGAAGTCATTAACGTTTATTGTATTCGTCAAAAATCGATTGACATAAATTTCTTTTAAGACATATTCATGATTGTTTCTAGTTGTTACACTAGTATAGTGTGGCAAAAAGAAACACCAAGAGCTATTTGTTACAAGTAAGCTAATGTATGAATTAGTGAAATCACTGATGTTTGGTTTGAATTGTTTAAAAAAGAATAAGTATTATTTAAGCTACGATTTATATTACAATCATTATTCGTTGAAAAATTTCCATTATATTAAAACACAATTGTATGAACGAAGAATATTCTTTTCAATTAATAATCCATAAGATTGGCCAAGTTTAAGACAAAGTATATCATTTAAAATTATAATTTGTGAACCAAAGATTCTTTATCGTTTAAAATAGGCACTTCTTCTTACCAAATTTGTCTGATGACCATCCTGATATTTTCGGTCGTTGGTGAAGTGACAGCTATGGGAAGGGTTGTGTGTGCTGCTTTGATATCTAATGGGTTCAGTAGGTCCGGTCTATTTAAGAGTTCGAATTGCTCTACTCGTCGGCTTCACTGTTCTTAAATCTCAGTGACCGGCTTGCCTTCTTTGTCCTTGACTGGTCTACTATATTTCCCTGCCAGTTTATTTATTATATCATATAATTGTCTGATATTAACTTCTCTTGCAGCTTTTTCCACTCTTGTTGCTAGGTCGTTAATGTTGGGGTGATTAATATGAACTGTTAACTTAAATAAGTTTATACGTCAAATGAAATTGTGAGATATGTTATCAGAATAAATATGCTCAACATGGGATGAGCGAGTGAACAATGTAGTTACAAACCAGAAATTACGTAATAGGTAAAATAATGTGAATTGAGTACGAATTAGTAGATAAGGGTGGATGTTGGATAAATTTCTCGAAAATGTTGGCGGGTTTTATAATAATCATAATAATAACAATGATAAGATATATGGATAAGATATAAAAATGGACATTAATCAACTTCCATCATATCAGAAAATTGATTATTAACTAAATAGGCCCTGAAGTTGGCTAAAGTAGAAGGAGTGGTTGAACGTAAAGCTCTGGCTTTTTGATCCGAATAGCAATTGCTTTAGCCGTCTGCAGGATTCTCAGTCTGATGGATTTAGGCAGACTGCTGTTAACATGATATATTACGGTGAAAGATTGCTCCATGTTGGCTGTATAGTCCGTTTGAACTAAATGAGCTAAAATGGAGCTGCTTAGCTACGCTGGGAGGTGCTCGCGAGCCCGAAAATATAAGTACTTAGAACATCTAACAATAGAACTTACTCCACAGGAGCAGTTGAATTGATAGATATAGAAAGAATTAACTAATCTAGGCAAGTTATCCTTCCATCTCGGAGTGATCATCGAATGTGTAGAAAACATTAATTAAAACATAAATGTACGATCTTTTCATTGGTCCCGATTCAAATTATTATTTCATCTAACTCAGTAACTGATGGTAGATATTATTTTTTATATTGCAAATTCTGCTAATTAGATCTTTCCTATTTAGAAATGAAAATTCAATGTTTTTATCACTGGTAAATGTTATAAACCTTCACAAAGTAGATACTGTTCATAATTTTTAATTTATCGATCTCGGTAATTAACCATTGTGTATTGAAACTAGTTTTTTTTTCTATACGACTAGTTATTAAATTCATTATAAACATTTCAATTAATAAATATAATCTGATCAGTAGTTCCATCAAATAATTCTATTATTATTTTATTCTTCTCTATTCAACGTTTTAGTTACACCAGCATCTGTAACAATATTCAATTTGAACTGTGAACCAGTTCATGATTTTGGAACAGGTTCATGGAATGAAATTCATTTCAATCCTCATGGGAATCATATCCTTTATTTGATGATTAGTTTTGTAAATAAATTTACTTTCATGTTTATGTGTACATTGTAAATGTAATTACAGTTCTTTTTCTACAGAAAATTGTTATAGACAATGGGAAACGATATCACAATAATTTTTATCTGGTTATCTTACATTGTTGAAAAACAATTTATAATTTTTGTTTATATAAATTGATAAGGAAATGAGTTCGAAATCTTTTTTCATACAATTTGGACTTTTCAGATGACTTAGCTCTTATATTTCTTACATGACAACAAAGATAACTGAAGACAGCCAGTTTAGCAGAATTAAGCCCTCAACATACACAAGGGAAAAAGCGAGGTCCTGAAATGTAGTACAGAGAATATCAACCAAATAACGCTTGATGGAGGAGCTCTGTAACAGGTGGGAACTTCCATGTGCTTGACCGGCATTATTGATAAGTAACATGGATCTGATCCAGATGTGAAGTTAAGGACTGTCAAAGCGAGTACAGCATTCCAGCTAAAATATGCTACTGTTGGTCTTTTATTCCCCGTATGGTTGTTCAAATAACCCAATTTTATAGAGTAAATTCAGGTAGTAAGAAACAGTAATGAAAGTCTCTGCTTTCACCTTAACCATCTCATTATTTATTTTTCTTATAGTTTACTATTGTTATTAGCTGGGCTAGGTAATTTGTCAGGCGATATGTGTGTTTGGGATTTTTCAACTCATGAACGTTTATCTTCATTTAAAACAACTGATGTGACAAGTGTTCAATGGTTACCAGATGGTGAACATTTAATATTTGCTACAACAACTCCAAGATTACGTGTAAATAATGGGTTAGTTGCATTTTTGTAGTATGTTTTCTTTTTGATACTCGAAGAATTTTTCGATTCTTGATTGTATGAAATACCGAAAGTCTCCCATTTTCGATGTTGCTTTATCAGACTGACTGACTTTATGCTTCTAAGTCTTCAAGACTTCCTCTAATCTCGTTCCTTTTCTTCAGGTACCTCAGGAAGAAAATTTTTTCCAAGATGTTGGCAGCCAGGAAGTGACAATCACTCCCATCCTGCTAATAGCACTCTGGATTACCTCGTTCATAATCAAATCCCATCTTCATTACCTAGCTTTTCTTCTAGCTTTAACTTTTTTTACACCTACCTTCAATGGACTGTGACAAATCGCCCTTGTTATTGAAACTCTGTTGTTTAGAACTGGGATATGGTAGTTAGGTTACGATATATCCTTGTACAAACTAGATCAGTAGTGTTAGATCATCAACCGCTAATTCATCAAACTGCCGAGATGTATCATTTTGTGATTTTTTCATTTTAATTTGTCGTTTTTATGTGCTGTCGCCTTTTTTCCTTACTAGTTCTGATGTCGTTTTACGCCACTCATCTCTTCGCCCTTTATCATTCTTGTTGTGGTTGTACTACGTCATTCGCCAAATTAGAGGTTTCCACTATAATAATAGAGGTTCTAGGTATTCATTGTTTTGTCCGGATTCATATAAACAACTTTTATCATTCATTCCTAAATATAAACATTCAGGATGAGCATCACATGATTATCATCTCTCCAATCCATATTCGATTCCAGAACATTCTCTATTGAATTCATTGTAGCATAAATCTAACATGAACTTTCTGAACGGAAAGTTTCCGTCAATCATAATAGCTTCCGTCTTAGTGGACAACAATTAATGTGCTTCGTCGTTAGTCCATCAACATCATTATCATTCTGTTTTTATTTTATGAGACTGCATAATTTTCTCTGCTCAATTTTTCAATCGATGATTTGTTTCACAGTTGCCTGTCCTTTATATTCAAATCCATTTGTTTAGCTTTGATTTTAATTCGCATCAAATATTTATTTATCATGTTCGGAAACTGTAAAATCGGAATTCTATCAAATCGATTAATTTTGTTTGTTTATCTATTTAAATTCATTTACTCATCGTGAAAATTGTGTGATTTTGTGTATTGTATTGATTAATTATTGACCACTGGCACCTTTGAAAGTTATTCACTAAAAGAAAAAGAAAACATCGGCGTTAAAATGTTCACCTTGCAACTAATGAATCATGGATTCATTTATACTCCTCATGATATACTTCGGTCTGTATGGTCGCCTAACACATTTGACCTTCGTGAAATAAGTTTGACTCAAAGAACCCATGCGTTGTTACGTTATGTAGTCAAATAAATTTTATAGTAACGTCAGCATAGCTTATTCTTCCAGCCCTATTGATAGTTTTCTTGTTACTAGATGATTCAAAATATAGTCAGAATATTTTCAGCTTGATGTGGAATCACTGTATACTAATAAACTTATTATTCTTATTATGATCTTTTAGTTAATTTTTAAGTTAACCTTATTGTCTTAACTTTCATAGATTTGGGATATGGCATTATAGTGGTAAACAATTATCCTATCGACCAGTTGAACGACGTGCTATTCCTAGAGCAGCTACACCAGATTTACCCGCTGCAGTTGATCATGAATTATATCAAGTTTCAGTTATATTTCCAACAAAACTGGAATCTGCTCCTGAACCGAAAAAGTTTGAGTCTGTAAGTTTTCGGATTGTTTTAATTATGTTAAGAACTTTACTTTTTATTCACAAAATGAAACAGCATAAAGGTGAATAAACAAGGCTGTATTATTTTAGATGAATTAATTTAGTAACAGATTATTTATTTCTCTGAATACCAAACTTTACTTAATCGTCAGTCAATTGAGATAACAGTTAAAAACATCGGTAAGCAGAGAGAACAGTTGTTGTACTCGATATGGCGCCTAAAATTATATCTACCCTCTAAGTGTTGATAGCGCTTTCTAAGCAAGTTTTTTTCACATGATGAGGTTGCTAACCCCATGCCCAACCGTCATCCTTTACCTGGTCATGTGACCGACAGTAACCCTAGAAGAGCTACGGGTGGAGGCCGATCACTGAGATTCAAGAACAGAGGAACTGGTGGATAGAAGTCTTTGGAGAACTTTTGAATAGACCAGCTCCATTGAATCCACCAGACATCGCACCAGTACCTACAGATGTAACTACCAACGATCGAAGTAATCAGGGTGGCCATCAGACAAATCAAGAGTAGGTAAGCAACAGGACCTGACAATTTACAACCTGAATCGCTGAAGTCAGACACAGAAGCAAATACAGACATGCTCCACATTCTATTCAGGAAGATTTGGGAGGAAGAACGGGTGCCGATGAACCGGAGAGAATGATATCTCATCAAGATACCAAATAAAGGGGATCTGAGCAAGTGCGAGAACTACGGAGGCATCTCACACTACTAACGGTAGCGGGAAAAGTTTTCAACAGAATGTTGCCGAACAGGATGGAAGATTTAGCTGACGACCAGCTTCGAGATCAACAAGCCGGATTCCGTAAGGATCGGTCGTGCACGGACCGAATCGCGACATTACGGATCATCGTTGAACAATCAATCGGATTGAACTCGTCACTATACATCAACCTCCTTGACTATGAGAAAGCATTTGACAGTGTGGATAGGAGGACCTTATGCAACCTTCCTCTACACTGTGGTATGAGTAGCTGGGAAAATCGTCGGTATCATTCGAAGTTCATGTGACGGATTACACTGCAAATTCGTGCATGGAGGACAGCTGATAAATGTATTCCAAGGGAGGACGGCAGTCAGACAAAACTGCCTACTCTCTATCTCCCGGTGGTTAACTGTATTTTAAAGACCATATCTCAAGGGTTGCACGGAATACAATGGACAACTTGGACGCAACTAGACAATTTGGACTTCGTAGATGACCTAGCTCTTATATCTCATACACACGAGCAAATGCAGATGAAGACAGCCAGTGTAGCCGGAGCCTCTGCATCAGTAGGTCTCAACATACAAAAGGGAAGAACCAAGATCCTAAAATATAACACAGTGAACACCAATACAATCACACTTGATGGACAAACTCTGGAACAAGTGAAAACTTTCACGTACCTGTGTAGCATCATCGACGAACAAAACGTATCTGATGCAGACGTAAAGGTAAATATTGGTAAAGTAAGGACAGCATTCACACAGTTGAAGAAAATATAAAACTAAAAAAACTGTCAAACAATATCGAATTCGGAATCTTCATCACGAACGTCAAGAAAGTTCTAATATGGGAAGCTAAAACGTAGAGAACTACCACAACCATCATTAAAAAATACAAGTATTTATAAACAGTCGTCTACACAATATACTGAATATCAGTTTGCGGAGTACCATCAGCAGCGGCCTACTATGGTAGAGAAAAAACCAACATCGAGTTCAAGAGGAAATGAGGAAAAGAAGTCGGAGGTGAGTAGGACATACATTGATGAAATCATCAAACTTTTTCACAAATCAAATGCTAACTTGGAATCCTGAAGGGGAAAGGAAAAGAGGAAGACCAGAGAACACACTGCTCCGGGATTAGGGGGCAGACATCAAAAGGATGAATAGCAACTGGAAAGGATTGTTCAGAACGGAGTTGGATGGAGAATGCTGATGGGCGGCCTATGCTCCTCTACGAGGGTAACAGGCGTAAGTAAGTAATAAATTAAGATAATGATAATTTTACTCATGGATTTGATGAATTGAGAGAACTTAAGTTTATTGAAGTCAACCCAAATTCACTTATTAAACCATAACTGAACGATTGTATTGAATAATGATATATAGAATATATCGATTGTGAGTTCAAATCTCAATAATAAAAACAACATACATATCTATCTATTTGATGAAATTAACACTTTGAAATATGCATCAATAACTATTATACTGCAGAATGCTAAGTGAATAACGCGATGACTCTCAAAGCGAACTGTGTTCGAGTTGCGGAGTGAACATCAACTCTGAAATGCAAGTACATCCAGCTGACGAGTCCCAAATAGAATGAAACGTTTGTCCTGGATCCCACTGCTGGCGATCATCCATCTTTGCTTGTAATCTTTGTGACTCATTAGCACCATCATATATTTTATACTCAGAGATTTTGTTTACATAACGATATATTCTTATTTCTGTTTTATTGTGTATAACAATCATTATTTCTTTCCCTCGTTAAAGGTTAATGTAGATTCAGTAAATAAGCGTTCTTCGGCCTACGTACCTCCGGTTCTGCGTAATCGTTCTGCAGTAGCTGTGCAATCATTGAAAGCATCCAATATGATTGATCATGGTAAAATTTCTACCCACTCTTTTAGCAATAATAATTCTAACATTGGAAAATTGAATCCAAGCAAAAGTATGTTGGTTGTCCAATAACATTTCATTCTTTTTGATATGTTATAAAAACATAGTATTCTGATAAATCACTTATTATCGAAATGGGGGTTCGTGAAGATTGTATTAAGTTTAGTAGTTGATTTTATGAATCGATTTAAGCTAGACCACCATTTAAATCTTGGAAACACTGGATAGCCATGTCGTCCTATTACGGGACTACTCAGCAGTGTACATCCACGATCTCACATGTGGGACTCGAACCCAGGACCTTTGGTGTCGCGCGCGAATGCTTAACCTCTAGACCACTGAGACGATATCCAATGGTGTTAATGTCTAACTTCAATCGATCCATGATCTTGTGCAACTATTCATCAATTGTATGGGGTAGATATATGTTTCTCCTCAACATGGATTGGATTCCACCGGTTACGGCTTCTCACTAGAACTCCAGGTTTTCAATGGTGATTTAACTTAGATTGACTCATGAATTCAACTATTAATATTTCATATTATCTATTTTAATCCGAAATCTTTCCATGATATTAATTGGAAATAAATTATAACCTAAGTATATATTGATTATGTATAGTTAGCCATCTTGTTTTGATACTCATGAATTAACTTATGTTGTGAACATTAAAAAAAACACGTATATAGTGGACTTAATTCTGGAGTAATTAGAAATCTTTGAATGAAAGTGCAAAGCGTTTTTTTTCATTTCATTAATCCTGGCTGAAAACGTTAAAGTTCACTGAAATGTTTTTTCCTATTTGTGTTAATCTATTTATTACTTTAAGGGTTGTTTTTCATATAAATAAAAAAATAATAACTATTTTATTGTTTGAAACGAAATCGGACTTATGTCCGATGTTCTAATCCAACTAAGCCTCTTATTAAAAGTAAATAAAAATAATCGATAATTCTCATATACAACTGATTTTCCATGTTTTAAAAGTCATAACCAACTAAATGACCTCAAATGTGTGTATATTGTCTAATATTAGTCATCGTAAACAAAGCATGTGACCTAGACCAATAAGTCTGTTTACAACATTTAGTACAATAATAGAAGGTCATACTGATATTTAGAAAAAAAAATCCAACTAGGATTGGTTAAACGGATCATTGAATTTTTTTTTACAGTTAACTGTAATGATAAGTAAAACTTTGGCAGTTGTAAAACATGTTTTAAGTCACTTTGTATGTATAACATGGAATTGATGCTTACAAATTCCGTTGAACTATTTAAATGTCAGTCAAAAAATTTAAACATTAAATCGAACTGTATGCATGAATAGTAATATATGGTTTCAAAATTCAAACTGAATGATTCGAACAAGAGTAGGTAGCATTAGACCGTTGTTTCATCCCACTATGTACATTCATATCATTAGGGGTTCAACCCAAGACATGTTTAGACTTGATGCTAATGTATTCACTATTTCGATCGAAAAATCAATTATGCTAATCAAGATTTCTAGTCACTAAATAACAGTCTCATAAAACAAATGCTATTCATTGCGTCCTGTACTAGTATGTATCTGTGAAACGTAGATGACACATAGACTAGAAGTGTTTGGTAATGGGTGTCTCTGAATCTAACCAATGATGGCGTATCGATTAATGAGGTTGTGATTTACCACTAATTTAGATGGTAGCGTCATTTGTTACTTGAACTGAACCACCGCCCAAGTAGGTATACGATGCTGGCCTGGTTAGATTGGTATCCTTAAAGACATTTATTGTCGAATTGGGCCATCATGACTGATGTAAATTACATGGTTCCAATCACCCATGACAGAAGCGACCAGTAGGTGAATTCACTACGATACATAATTCAGCACCGATCATTGATACAATCTGTTTCCCTCCAAAGATGTCACGGTTACGCAACGTTTAACAACACTACTGTCCGCAATCTCTTCTTACGCAATGATTTCGAAGTCAGTCAAGCAAACCAAAAGTCTAGGTTGATGTAACGCAAAAGCACGTGAGTCATATGATGTAATGTCTCAAAGTTTAAAATGTAAGCTTAGTTATCGTAAAAAATGCACAGCACTGGATGTTCAAAGGTAATTGGGTGCAAATTCTTGACCGAGTACCTTCAACCATGGACGTATTCAAATAAACCGATGTTGAAAATTTACAAAGCCATTTGTTGTAAGGAATATATTTGCCCCTTTATTTCTAAATCTTTTATCATCAATTCGTATTTCTTAAACTCGAACTCATCTCTTGTTTTCGAACATACTCATTATAATATTAAGCCTTTCCCATTATTAAAACGAAGACTACTTCGACTCAATTTGGTGTTCACAACTTTCTAACTTCGTGTTGCCGTACTGATTTAGTTGTGGAAATCGGACCGCCACTCCAGTGGTCAGGAGACTAAGCGTTTGTGGCCGAGATTGGTTGTCCCGGTGGCGCACTCGTGAAGAGAATCAGTTGTTGTCTTAGTTTGAAATATCAATAACGACCATACTTTGTGCTCAAACTACGTAATAATAAACACCAACTAGTTTTTTTGTGATATAACCACGGAGTCTCGCAAGCTTACTTGCTTATGAAACATGGGTTTACTGTCCAGTACTAGACTTATTATGGTTCACCTTTCATTCCTGTGTGGAACTTAGTCCGCTAATTCACCTCAATTATTTCAACTACCTGACAATCTTTTTATTTCTACTCCATAAAGTCATGGGACTCAAGTGATGTCGAGTTCAATGAACTCTTTAAACCTAAAAATTCGTATTACTTCTCTAATGAATGATATAAAATTAAGACATGATAAAATCACGTTTCGTAGAACTCGCTAGCTTGTTATTTTGAATCTTGTTTAGCTAATGGTTCAAATCAGAAAACCGCATTATCTTCAAATAAACCTGCCCAGACTGGTGTTACAGATCCAACTTCATCCGATAATAAATGCGCTCACCCAGCTGCATCAGACCCAAAAAACCAAAAGCAAGTCAATCAGATATATAAAGTGAGTTCATTGTCGCATTCTATTCAATCTCTTTATTTACATATGTTTGATATCATGCCTACTACAACGACACGGCCCCTTGCATTTTGTCATTACTCCTACTGGCGCTTTCAGATAGACTGTAAATTAATATATTGGTACTTTTGTTTTCACGACTTCAAACGATAAGTTCTTTTTAGTCAGCTAACAGATTTTGCGCCCATTATATTCTTATTTGGAGGTGGTGTTCGTCACTGATGTGAATGTCAGTTGACATTTCTACAAAAACCAGTGCATAGTTTTGCTATGGCTGGTGTTACTATCGCTACCCATAACATTGTATTGACAGTAGTTAATGAACGTTTAGCTTAAACTTATTCACTACTTCTAAGGCTTGTACTGTCCGCAACCTAAAAGCTGAACAATGTCTCATACATTTTTTTCGTACCAGAACAGACGTGATCGACAAAAGAAACTAGCACAAAGATAGCTGCAAATGATGAGTGACAGTAGTATCCTTGATGCTTGGACAAACCAGTGTATTGTGATTGATTGCGGAATGTCACTCGCGACTTCAAACTATTGATTCACATGCTTTACCTCATACATAACCCTTATCAATCGTTATTATACTTATGGATGCGAATTGACTCAGTGACCTCGATTAGTGCTGTTTACCTAACTTCTATCCCTGGCTTATTAAATACACGACGGATTTCATATATATGTGCTTGAATGACAGTGACACATTAGTTCGCGAAAAGAAAGGTAGAAAGCAAATGTAATCTCACGATTTAACTTTATACATCGACTCTACTCTAATCGATCTTATAACATGAAAGAATCTCCAGTCGTCTTAACATCGCCTAATAGAATTACTAACTATAAAAAATGGTAAAAAGCGAGTTGGATTACAAATTATAACAGTATATATCTACATTACACCTTGGCGTAGTTATACTTTGCATTATTTCTCCTTGCTTAATAACAGAAACTGACGCAGATTGAGAAACTAAAAACAGAACAAGCATCCGGAAAAGCTTTGGCATATAACCAACTGGACAAAATTGCGAGTGAGAAACAACTCCGGGATGAATTAGCTAAACTATGCTTATAAAGACCATGTTGAATTTTTATTAAATTTTTCACGTACTTATTTGGAGTACATTTGCGTCGTTGTTCTTAACTGTGAAGATTAATAAGGTAAACAACCTAAGTGATCTAATACGAAGTTTTCACCATAAAAATTGTTACCCGAAGAGAATATAGCACGATTCTATATGAGTGCCGTTACATAATAAATCCGGCAATAGATCACCAAAAAAGGCTGTGGTCTAGTCAGCATTATTACCAGCATCTGTGAAGAACGCCCACTAAAATGAGTCTGGAATAATGTACAAGCATATCAACTCAACACTAATTGAGGGTTAAAATATTAACAGTTAAATGGTATCCATTAGCGGGAGACTGATTCAGACGCTTAAAATATGCTCTGAAACAATCACCTTACAATCCAGACCACATTGCCAAATTACACTTTCTAGTAATTTGTTCAATATAATAACAGGTACGTTGAGGACTAAACGGAAGCAGTTAACAACATGCGCATGATGCAATAACTTACTAGTATTTTTACCCTAGCTTCCTAAATTAAAGAGGGCACAACGCGCACGCGTTTATTTCACCGTCAAATCATTAGAGCCCCGTAAAGTAAATATACTGATGAATCTATTTAGCTTAACACATACGCGTGCCGCAGAGAACCTGCACACGATTAATGCATAACAGCGCGATTTGAAGTCAAAACAGTGTTTGGTGTTTGAGGTATTTTGGCGCTGATTGTGTATATTCTACGAATTATTTGCAAGAGAATATCCCGACCCAACGACTCATCGAATGGATTTTACCCAACACTACGTTGATGCAAAAGCATTTCTCGAGTTTAAAGGCTCGCAGGACAGTTTTTCTACAAAACCAAGTTATATTTTATTTAAAACAGATTATAGGACAAATTCGGAGTAAAAACACATGCTCTAAGCGAAGCTTACTCGGACTGGGAGCAGTCACTAAGTTTTTAATTTCCAACGAAAATTTATTTTAGATACATATAAATGCATATATCGTGATATCCACAGAAAAATGACTTTCAGCTAGAACAAGGTATTACGAGATAAAATGTACAAATTAGACATTAAAAATGCAATATGTACAACATAGATTGAAATTAATATGGGCTGGAGTAATAACCACCATTGTCTCTCACACCATATCCTCGACTACGATCCCGTGGATTGCGTTCTTCAAATCTCCTTGAGAAATCACCGCCAGTCTAATAGCCAAATATAAAAAAAACGAATATTAGTCTCTCTGAACAATATGCTTTCGAAGTAGTGTAAATCAATTAGAAAACGGAAGTATAGACTGTCAGACGATGTTTTGGTAACTTACCAACAATATGATCACTATGTACGTTGGCTCACAAAAACCCCACAACACGACCCCATTATCATTACGATAAGCTGCTAATATATCACTAATTAAGACCGTAAGGTATCCCAGCTAAGTGCACTATTGTATGTTCTATACCCATCACATCAACACAAATATAATAAACTAGCTACACGTGGAGTGAAAATAATATCAAGTCCCATGATATTATCAACGCAATTCGTATAAACGTGCGTACAAATTTGAACGATGGAAAATACAGTGACTCAGCGTGATTAGCATCAGAACGAAGAAAGAATGCATTTATAAAATCTCAAAACTTTGCAAATCTACATGGCTCGGACGTGTTGCGTTTGTCGAATTTCTTTGATGTATAACCTAGTTAGTATAATGTATATTGACATGCTGCTTGAGCATGTTTTTATGAACTTTAAAAATAACACTTATGTGCACACCAGTTTAGCAGATTCTAGCATGTTGCAATTGAACGATAACCATTTCATCCCTGATACGAGGCATGTTAGGTATCTTGTTACCAAATACAACCACTTGCAAAATACTTATTTCATTAGTCGATATCAATGTGGAAGTCAGACTTTTGTTTGGAAATTGTTCAAGAATTTTAATCGCACTTTGTAAGACAGTGTAGTCATTCATAATTAACTTTGAGTCTACTGCTTATACGTTGGTCCAGGTGGCTACACATCATTGGTACGGAGATTGAATTTAATCAGATGAGTGTTTAGTTATGTGGCAGTAATGATACTGGTTAAGAAGGAATATTAGGAATGAGATACTTCAAGTGAGATTTACAAAATGCATATGGAAGTGCACTAATACCAGTGTAGTCAAAGCAAGCAGTTTCCGTGACTTGACGCTGTACGTAACGTAGATAGGGACTAAACTGTGGTATGAACAATCTAATTGGCATCCACACTGACAGTATGACAAACACTATTAACACACCTTATCTTTCAGATCAAGCCCTAGCTATGCAAAAACTTATTGATATGCGTGATACATTACTAACTTCTTCAGACATCATTACCAAAGCCTCAGAGTAAACCAAACATTTATTATTATACCCAACAGTACTGACCCTGGCTCCGTCGCGACCTCTACCTCTTCCACGATACGATCCAAACCCATTACTTCGATAACCATTTGAGTCATTTCTATCACCGCGCGCTCCATACTCCCTGGGACTTCGCCCGTAAGGACGATCCGCAGCATACGCACTACCCTGTGAATTTTAAGAATGCCTGTTATACAAAACGTACCTTCACCGGCCTTCTGTCAGGCCCAGTGACATCGGAGGCCTCTACACCTTTGTCCCCCTCGACAACAAAAAATTCAACTTCTTCATTTTCCTGAAGGGAGCGCTGCATTTTCCCTGGGTTATTTCTCGAAATAGCTGTTTGATGCACGAATATGTCGGATGAGGTATCAGACCGAGTAATGAAGCCATATCCAGCCTTGACGTTAAACCATTTGACAACTCCTCTAACCCTGTCATCGGTCATTTCACGAGCTGCATTGCGATTCTTTCTATCGCTCATATTAAACTAACTAGAGAAGCCCTTGTCGTCGGACTTCAAAAACAGCGGCTCAATGGACTATTTGTGTCTCCTTCATGTTTGGAGGCCATTTAAACAAGTGAATGAAGAATGTGTGATTTAATGTGGCTGATGAGTAAATATAATGCATCTTCTGAACTTATCAGCACTAAACTACTAGTTTATTAGGTTAATATGTTGGATCTTTGAGCTATTAGAAAGTAAATGGCACTAGTTCAGTTGCAATATGGTGAACTAAGATACACCAGTTAATGAATTAACCCTGAAGTATCAATATCTAGATATGTTATTGCTTTTCTAGTATGCTTCTGTGAGTGTCCAGTTTTCTCTTGAATCATTCGATTGAAGGAACTGATAGGTTCCAAAAATTGATGACTTGGTGTGAAATCCTGTATGCCACGAGTATATTGTTCGTCCTTGGTTTTTCTACTCGCCTGCTATGTCCTCTGAGATGTTATTGGAAGAAACATAGAGAACATATTAGGTTTCAAATAACTTCTTGTTATTCTATACATCAAAGTTAGGTCACCTCTTAGTGTGCGATAGGTTAGTGTAAAGACGTCTAACTTTTCAAGCCGCTGTTTTTATGTTAAACCCCGGAGTTCTGGAATTGCATGGGTGGCCGCACTCTGTACTTTCTCCAGGATACCCAAGTCACCTTTTAAACAAGGGTTTGCAGCCTGGACGCATATTTCATGTTTAGTTCTCACCGTGGTTGTGTTCACTGTATTGAAAATGACAGTATCTAACTCGGTGGATGTCCGTCTTAAAGCCCAGAGTGTTCTGATCCTCTAGCTGAGTCCTCCCGGCAGTAAACCATGGCCTTGAGGTCACGACTCACTGTCACCCTGTGATCCTTATGGGACCGTACTGCGGGTACAGTCACTTACCTTGTGCTGTGCCTATTTCCCTTTGCATCGCGAAACTACATGTGGACTCATTTTGGCGCGTTGATAAGTATCAGCCACTCTTTAAACCAGTTAATCACATTATTTAAGTCTATCTGAAGTGAGCACGCACTTACTTCTCGCCATATTTTTGCATTGTCAACATTGGGGACTTCACTACACTTGGAATATCATTTACATACAGTATAAAAAGTAAAGGACCTAAGACAGAACCTTGAGGTACTCTACTATGTACTGGTTTCCAGTTCAAGCACTTGGAATTTATTTCTATATTTCGTATTCAACTTACCAGAAAATCCTTAAGCCATATGACGAGAGGTCCGTATACCAAGATTTTCCAACTTCAATAGCAGTCTATTTTTTACACCTTGTCATATGCCTTACTGAAGTCTATGTAGACAACATCCACTGAGTTTTCGTTGTCTAGCGCCCTTATTCAATGCTCCTTTTCTATGAAGGAGTTTGTTGTGCAAGATAAGCCTCCTGTAAATTCATGTTGTTCGCTGCTTAACAAGTTGTTGGTTCCCACGAATGTCATCAGGTCTAAATTTTTCTTACTGTTGGTTACCACTGTTTTCATATGTTTGAACAAGAGAACATTAGGCTGACTTATCAGTTTTTCGACTTGATGCTTCAAACTCAATAAACGTTCCTCCTTTTAAACTGTAATTATAAATTCTGTAAACAAAATACCATTGTCGTGTAACGGTAAATATATCCTCAAAATAGTTCCCTAAGTACTCTACATTAATACTGACCTCTTTAGTTTTACGAAACACACCCAGCTGAAGGCATTCAGTCACGCATCTGGACCATATCACTACTGTGCATCCGTTGCAACTATCAGCCATCTGAGGCTAAACACCTCTAGATACGTTGACGGACTTCCAAATATATCTTCAAACCACTGCATTTTCGACTTCTGTTCACATTGAGTTTACACCCCTTGGTTATAAATGTGTTACATGTGAGGTCCTTGTCAAACTTTGAATAGCTGTGGCATCTCTAAAAGTGAGACCAACGTGATCTGTACACCAAATGACAAACTCTGTGTGTGTAAGATATCATCTTTCGATTTTTTTTACATATAGCTATATTGTTTCGATATTTTCGGATATTTCCCACTTATTTATATATCTCATCTTCGTCATGACGGAAAAACACTCAAGCTATTTAATATTTGGACTCTCCCCCTCCATTTTTCAACTCATGCTATTCTGGCTCGAAAAAATATAGGCTTGGTTCTGCTAAGCAGATGCTGACTACGTCGAGCGTGACATGGCAGACCCATGTATACAGTCGTCGCAGTATTGGAGGTATACCACGCCTAAGGTACTTACTAGTGATGTTTCTAAACCCTACGACATTTAAAGAAATCTTTACTCAAACGTGAGTTCGTAACCAACAGACAGAGTAAGACCAAATTTTCCGCAACATCGAATCGCAACACTACTCAGCGACAAAGATGTGACTACGTATACGAAAGGCCAGTGGTGATCGGCCTTTGATGAAGCCTTGTTACGACAACTCTTCTTGCCCCAGCTTCCTAAATACGTGCGATCAGTCCTTGTCACTTTTCAAAATAACTCTGCAGACGAACGGGCTGCATCCGACGACCAGAGTTTTGAGATCAGCAGAATCTCCAGCACCGAGGTTTTTATGTCAAAAAAGCCTCAACTAACTCTATATGACATCGAAAAACCTCTGTCACACACACTAGTTATCTTGATACTCATCATAACCACAGACGCTCCGAAACGCCCTGAAGAAGTACGTTGCAGTGCTCAAAGTGTTTCTTAATCACCTCAAATAATCTTAGAAACAGTTATTTATTTGTCTACCTGAATGGGGTTTCTGTGTGTCGGTTTCTGACTGAAATTCATTGATGAGAGCTAATGAAAACCCACAATCTAACTACTTCAGAGAAAAATGAATCAGACAACTTATTACTATGTCGAGGATTTCATCCACTTAGTTTGCAATGGAGTTTTGCTCACAGGTTAGTTACCGACCCAAAGTCGCTGAACCAGTAATGCCACAAGGGCGACGTTAATTTGCCCTGTCGATCTGCATTAGGTTCCCCAACACTGGTTACACCTTCATAAATTGTCATAATAAGCCTTCTTATTTTTACAGAAGTTCCCAGATTTTTAGACATTTAGCTCCCATAAGATGACGTTAGTTTTATGAGTGAGGGGAGTGTGGTCACCGCATATATACTGACCTGACTCCACACACCGTGGAAGGTATAACAGTCGCAGCGACACTTGTAGGTGATGTTCATACGAACTGCAGTAAGATGACTGTCGGAATCCATAGATGATCAAGTTTGTGATTTCTTTTAAAATCCTGACACAAATGCTGTGTTTCGCCAGACTGAAGCGTGTCTGAAGGAACTGCTTGTTGTTAGTTTTATGGCGGTTAAGAGAAACTGTTCACGAGGTTCTACGACACATTTAGTAAGAGAGCTTTGTCTTGCGAACCATTGTTTTCTAGATACAGATAACACAGGCTAACTAGTATGGTACTTGGTCACAGAAGTGAACTATGGTCCTCGCTTTGACTTCTATCATTGTGTTTTTATAAACGTCCTAGTGGTACATGAATTAACGTTTGTTATTTACTCGAAAATACTCTCCTAAATAGTACTGACCGACTAATTATCTGAACTTCAAACACATAGTGTAGGTTTATATGTGCTAGGGAAAGCGGGTGTGATTGGCCACTGAGCGTGAACGCACAGGTGCTCAGTTAACTGATTCTTAAACGTTTAATTTTTTTTCCTGAAATCGACTTTTATTCTTGTCTAAATTTGAGGGACTGGTTGAAATTGTTTGGAATGATTCATTATTTCGAGTCTAACCTGGTTCCCTATTATTAATTGCGGATCGAGTATCTGATATAACATGATCCATTCTATGAATCGCATTTCAATTGATTATCTAACCTAACTGCAATATAAACCGGATAAGTCTAATTTGCAGGCGTTGTTTGAAACCTAGCTCAATGTTTTTCCGTTGATTTTTATACATAATCATCATACTTGCTGAAATCGTTAGAAATAACCATTGAAGTTAGTGATCACATGAAAACTTTCTTTTGTAAAGCATAAACGCTCATTTAAACATATTCGATGGTAAAACGCTGCACTCAGTGGTAGAATGACAGTACTGCCAGTGCGAGAGTTACTGAAGAATATAAACAAGAACACTGGTTTTGTGCAAAAGGTTTTAGCTGCCCAAGATTTTCAACACTTAAGGGTTGGAAAACACTGTGATGTTTAAATAAGCATTTGATGCTATTTCATTCTTGTCTGTAATACACAGAGAAATAACGAATTAATGGGAAATAATGGGTCATTGGTGAAGACAATTGGAGTTTTCGTTCATAGACATTTCTATTTTGGGAACTGATATCTAACCAGTTAAGTTCATACTCCACTGATTTAACTTACAGTCGATTTTGAAAAGGCTTATGTTTACGCTTTCTATATAGGCTATACCTCAGAAGCTGCATCAGAGGTACAAAGATTCCGGGATCAGTTCGTAAGTTGAGACAGCCTTTTATAAAATTTAGTATATCAGAGATTGTTTGAGATGTCTTTCTGAATCCCACGAAAGCTGATCTATGTGTGGACACATGAACCAGCCATCATTTATACCTTAAATGCAACTACAAGCGATTCCCTGTAAGCAGAGTTTAAAGTCAACAGATTTTGTTGGGGTTTCTGTGTTCTCAGTAGCAAAGTGCAATCTATCCCGAAAATCAAATAACACCAGTGATGGATTTTGAGAACCAGGCTTTCATTCAAAAAAGTTTCTAAATTGTCTTTTGCAAATACTGTACGCTTTGCATGGAACTGTGGGCTGTAGTAGCGTACTTTTTCAGGTTACCACATTAACCATTGGTCTGTCTACTATTAGAATGGAAATGTTACATATTTCGGTGACGAAATAATGGCTAACCCTGGTGTCTGCTTATAGAATACTGTTAAGAAAAGTTCGAATTCAACGTGAATTTTGACCTGAATGTGAACAAATTTGGGCTTATTTACATTGGCCACAGCCTTAAGCTAGACCTAGCTATATACGAACACAGTGAAACTTCTAAGCACTGTTCATAATTTGCGTTTTATGTATATAACCAGTCTGAACTTTTTCGTGTATATTACATCTCAAGTATCCAAACAAGAAAGCTAACTGGACGCGTAATAACAAATTTCAGTAACATCTAGTCGAGATTATTACTTTACAAAATGTGGTATCCTAGTTTCCAGTAGTTGCCGACATAGTGACTCGAGGAGATTTGAGAAGACTCAAGATGGTTTATTCACAACACTTATGTATCGATAAGCTGTTTTTGAATAGTAATCGTTTAGGAAGCTGATTCAGTTCAACGTTTGGCTGATCACACGCTATGAGCCGAAAAGCTATTTAGAACAATTTGTTTATGGAACTAAAAATTTCCTTTTATATTTATTCTATTTATAGCAGTAAGACGAAGTAGATTACAATCACTAAGTGGTTCAGGTACTTGTCGCCTTACATTTTATTGAGCATTCCCTCAAGCACTGTTTTCTAAATGAGGGATATTAGAGATATTTATTGACGTTCAGCCAAACATCCATTAATATACAGGAATAGGATACTACTGATTTTAATATAGCTTAATCTTCGTAGAAGCCTGTTATGTGTAACTCTGTAGTGGCATTGATTTGTATTCACATTATTTTTGAAGCTGAGCATATTACTGTGGTGATTTATATTCAACATGTAAAACACAGGGGCCAACAATGGTGAATTCGGAAACAAATGAATCGAGATAATACGGCGGGACCATGCACACAGGTTCAACATATATAATCTTTTGAATTCGGCATTGATTATGTTTCACTCCACTAAAATCAAATGTTTTCTTAAGACATATTAGAAGTCGTGTTCCTGATTGTCAGGATAAGACGGGTTGCTAAGTAATATGATATGTAGGTGGTTGGTTGTTTGTTTGGTCAGACTAGTAAATAATCTGAAAGTGTTGGATGATTTATACACTCTCCTACCCTCATTAGTATTGTCTTGTCGTCGGATTTCGCTGCGGGAATATACATACGTTCTAGTTAGGCCAGTCACGTATTCTTGATCTGAATTATACTGAAGTGATGTAGAACAGATATTGCAAGGGTATCTAGTGTAGATATTCGTATGAGGCACGTTTACTTCGCGCTCGTTTGTGTGGGCATGCGGAGCCATATATCATTTATTTTTTCACGTCAGTACAAATATTTACTTTTAGAATTAGGTTTACTTTTAAGGTAGCAAATCTAAGCATACTAATAACGAACTATACCATACTTCTTTATTTTTATGATACACCTTTCTGTGTTCAGTGAAGCCTACATCCATTATTTGCCTCAGTTTCTGTAGATCACAACAATTTTCTAGCGCTACTGTCACATTCGTGAGACGTGAATACGTCGTTTCATAATCATTATGGATTTCAGAGAGAATCGATGATCGTATTCCACCGATTCATTTTAAAACTTTTCTTTTTTTCATGATGATTTCAAAATATTAAATGAGAAAGAATAGTTCAGCGAAGAGTTCTCTTTTTGGCGAATTCATTTTCGAAGCTGTACAATCGCAAATATATATATATATATATATATATATATATATATTTACAGGATGATAATAATACTTATAATAAACTTGTTATTTAACCTCACTGTCACCATGTATAACAAATTTATTATCAGTATTATTATCATCCTGTAGAAATAAGTATATATGTTAGCGATTGTACAGCTTCGAAAATGAATTCGCCGAAAAGAGAACTCTTCGTTGAACTAATCTTTCTTATTTAATGTCTTAATGGGTATATTCCGTTCATTAAAAGATTTCAGAATAGTTAACTCGATTCAATCTTCTACCGATGAAAGCTACATATATGTAGTAATCCAAGAAAAAATCACCAAGCAATGCGAATGAACGGCGTAATGGGATCTGAAAACGCACAGACTGTTTTAATATGTAGGTGGGAAAAGGAAGGAATCCATCAGGGCTCGAACGAACGCTTTCAAGCGACCAACTCCTAACTGCAAACCAGATTTACACCTCTTTGCAACTGAATGAGACTTACATTGACATTGAGACTTAGAATCATCAGCAGTTGTATTAGGACAGAAGCAACACTGTCAGTAGAATATCCAGTCAAATGCTGGAATTCGCTGCCGGCCGAGCTAGTCCAAGAGACTTCCCAGGAGTCTTCAAAGAGGCAACTTGATCATACTATGATTTACCGATTTCTTTTTCCTCTTTTATCGTCAACATACCTATGTTCATGCCTGGAGTTATTGGTTATCCCTTGCTACTAGACACGGAAGCCTGTTAAGCGAAAGCTTCTTCTATTCCATCCACAACCATTTGAACCATTTGGTGAACAGTCGCGATTACGTTGTATCATTGGAGATTCGTTTTGTATCTTGTATCAATACGATGGCATCACTTCCTCTACTTGAAGTTTGGGGGTTATCAGACATGGTGTGAATGGACCCGAATAAACTTAATAACTGTCTTGATTAGACCGCTTCTGCAAGACGTCACGATTTGTCGAAGTGACCCATGAATTGTTTTGCATCATTTCAACCTTTCAGCTCTCAGTAACCTTCATCGGTAAACTATGCTACTGGATCGTCTTCTAGTTTCGATCTGAGGCTTGTGTTATTGATGGTTGTCGTCTATTGCTTTTAATAGTAAATGTACGTGCATTGTGTACGACCACTGAATCTTCCATCTATCTTCCCTTTTTATCTCATTCACAGTTTTCAAGCCACTCCGCATGCTGTCGTGATACAAAAATGACTTCCCGTTATACGTAAACGCTTGCGAAGGTCATCAGTAGCGCTGTATTTAAAAAAAGTGAGATCACCTTGTTACTTGATTAATCCACATCAATCTAGATAATCACATTTTCTAATCTTAGATTGTCTGTCCTCGTCGTAGTGTTAAAAAGACGGTTGCCATCTTGTCGCAGCTAACTCTGTTTAAAGTTAACTGTAACAAATATAGTGGATTGAGACTGATAGTTGTGCTGGAAAGTTGATTTTGGTAGAATTTGATTATTTATGTCAGGGCTTATTGTTGTGAATTTGGAGAATGCCGAAATCAAAGCCGAGTCAGAGTAATGTGAATTCATAGTTTCTTGTTGGCTGTTTATAATCATATTTACCTTAATTGTTCTTGCTTCACTCATAGCGTGGAAATCGACAATTTTCGTACGAAAAACGGGAATGTGATATTAATGCACTTCGTTAGTGGGAGACTTGGATGAATCGATCAAATGTGAACAACAAATCGTCGCGACCAATAGGCCCTTATACTAAGTCGTATTTTTATCGTGGTTGCCGATTTAGTTAGGGGAATAACATCCCTAAGTTCATGTTGATTAATATTCTCTTGTCCACTACAGATTGATGGAAATTAGTTTTTTACTGAACGGTCAGTGCATTTCGTAAGCGAAAATGCCACTAGTTTGGTGGTCATACTTGTTAATTCTCCAGTAATTTCGTTGGTTACTGTTTTATCGTTTATGTTTGGGACCGTCATTGTGGTGATGCAATGGATTAAAAGCAAAATGCATGTATTAAGATTATATCCGTTGAAATTCGGTTTCCTAAACCAGAAAACGAGGTTTAAGTATGTCTCTTAAACGGGTATCAGGACTAAATCCGTAGTCCCAAGAGCTTTTTGGACGGGAACGTAGGTGTTTGGATTTCCATTTGAACTAGTGAAGCAAATAAGCCAGGGCCTAATCTTTGATTCTTGGCTTTATCGCAAGTATTGATATAGATATGTGACAAAGTTCCGAAAGTGATTTGCTGTTTAGTTTAGCCTGTCTTCGAGGGGCTTGTTTATTGGGTTACGTTTTTTAATCCGCAGTGATTTTATTTGTGGTATGATCAGGGGAAAGTGGAAAGTACTGAGTGCTAGTGAAACATAACACCAAATCACTTTAATTATTTTCAACAGTGTGGTTAAAGGTAGGTTGGTAAAGTGATGCGGAGACCTAGTGAACGATAAAGCTCAGTAATTAATTTTTAGACTTTTTACTCAACACTTCTGTATTTACTTAGTTGTTCCTCAGATCCTATTTCGTAAAACCGTTACCTCATCATATTTTTTCACCTTTTTACTTTAGGTGCAAAGAACAATCATCAGTACTCATGGACTTTCATCAGAAACCTATATTTCACAAACTAAAGTCTTGTAGGTTTCTTTTTCGGGAAGGAAAATATAAAAATGTTCCACTTCATTGTTTTCTTCATGTTTCTTATTATATACAGACTCCATGTTGTTTTTGACATGGGCTTTTCACAACATCTAAGCAAAACAATTTTTTATTTGATTATGTGTTGCTCAGTGTGTCCATGTAATCAAACTAACAAATTTCGGAATTTGTCTGGTTACTTCAAAGTCATGATTTTGAATGCCGCCTGACCTATCTCAGTCTGCAAATCCACACTTATTATTCTACTATACATCAAATTTCAATCGCACAATTTTTAATTTAAATACTACCTTGTCAAAGAATTTTCAAATCGAATCTTAAAACCCACGTTAAATATTGCGTCTAGTGTTTATTCATTATATACATGTTCAAGCACTACTTTCCATTTGATATGCTTGATATATTAACTAGAGTAAGCTTCTAGAAATCTCTATAATAAAATCTGATTGTTTTGATCTGTAGCCCTATCTTAATAGATATAACTGAATAATAATGGTAGTTTTTAGTAAGACTAAAATTGATTGATTATTTATTTATTTGAATACATAAATATCGGTACAAGAGGGCACCAAATATATATGCGCCACAAAAAACAATAAGAATTTGGAGAGAAGGAAAGAAAAGGTAAGGATTGTAAAAAAAGAACAATAACAAACAGATTAGTGTAAGGTAGTGTAATAATAATAATGGGGGAAACAGAAACGTACAATCAGAAGAGATCTTTCAGTTAAGGAAGAAGCAACCACTTTTTATGATGAAAGTAAAATAAGGTTACAGCAGGATCGCCACTGGCTTCTGTTCTGAGCCATATCTGATAACGTTTCTACTCGAGAACGTTTATATAGAGCCGAATTTCCACCATAGGCGAGCTGCTGTATAAGTCGAAAAACAAGGATAGACAGAGTGGGAATAAAAGAGAGTGAATAAATGACATAGTAAATAATAATAATAGTAACAGTAGTAATAATAATGTGGATCGTTTGCTTGTTAATTGAAGCAAGAAAGTGTTTTCTATAATTATCGACAGTTCATCATATTTGTATGTGGGCTGTGATACTGCCCGGGTGCCCAGACCGAAGCAAATGGTTTTCTTAGGGGGCCACACTCCGAGCCTTTGACCTAAAGGACTAACCCGAAAGGCAGTGGAGCATCGTAAGGAGATGCAGTCCCATGGTAGCCGGTGACCAACGATTGGTTCATACGCCATTTGTTCCTTCAGAATACTGGAGCCCATTTGCACCATTGATTTGGGATCCGGTTAAAGCGCCGGACATTCGCTTTTCGTCCTCTCATTTTCGTAAACGACCCCCGCCACGAGAAGGCAGTGAGTAGGACTTCCCTGGCAGAGGCTGTATACGTGTGAGAGTATTTCGAGAGGGAGGGCGGACGCACCCCACTCTCGGCCATACCAGGGCATTGGGGGCAAGACTAAAATAACAATGTTGTTTCCAATATGCTTCTAGAACAGGTTAGAAAAGGAACACGATAATATAGAGAGTTGGTGAACAAAAAGAAGTAATTTAGCTAGTCTTCTTTATTTCGGACTTCTCTTATTAGTTCAGGAATTTTCATGGATTAAACCAAACGGTTCTGATTTGTAATTGTTAAAGCATAGACAGATACACCAAAACTTGTCTGGAAATATCAATAACTAAGGTTCGAGTTAGTTTATTGCATACGGTACATTATGTTTGGTCCGTTCATGTATAAATAAACTAGATATACTTTTCGTCCGGTTTCAAAATCTTTAATTCTATGTTATCTTATCATGTGAGCAGAGCTCTGAAAATGATGATCAAATGTCTGCCATCTTTAAATTTTACCCGACATCTTTCTCATGGGCAGTATATTACTCTCATGATATAGGTGTTTATTAATTATTAGTAGTACATTGGTCGTAATGTTGAGATTGACAACCCAGCTTCTTTTACCGATGTGACCACCGTATATCAGATTCTCAGGACTAATGCAACTATCCAGATAATAGGTTTTTTATACATCAACGAGCTTATCAAAGTAAGTCTCTTGTGATTGAATTTGATTTACATTGGTTGTTGCTAACAACATGGGAACCACTGAAAACCAGGGGTCGCTAAATATATATTTGTTTTCGGCATAAAACTCTGATTGTATTTTGTGGATATTTCAGCTCATATGCACCAACTTGAGTGAGTATCAAGGTGCTTATTAGTTGCACCAGCATAAATTTACTGTAACACAATCATATATAAGTCCACACTTTTCGATCAAGACTGATTTCTTTTTCCCCTTATGATTGGCATCTTGAATGTTTGGCAAACGCTTTTTTAGTAACCTAACTATTACCTGCTAGCATTTCAATCTTGAAACTGCCTTTTTTCTAACAAAATCTAGCTGGATGGGACTATATCAAATGGTATGCAGATTCAGCAAAGTTAGTTCCTGGTTGTACAAATCCTTTGATTTTAGCAGCACAACAATGCCCAAACATGGACGTAATCAAATTAAAAGTGGCTGTTGTCCTAATGATACCTTTAATAGATTTTTCCAATAAAACATTTGATTTCTTAAGTCTACACAGTATGATAGAAACTGTTGAACAAAACCGTGATGGCTTTTTAAAGGAAGTTTTTCATGAATACAGATCGTTTTCGAATTTTGATATTTATGATTCTAAAACGACCTCGTTCAGGTAAGATAATATATTTTAGCAACCTATGGGTCTTTAAACTTAATTGGGTTTAGTACTCAGCACAGGCTTTTGGTGTGCTTTCTAACTACAGATTTATTCCACTGTACAACTAGTATTATGATATGATGTTAAATGTTGGTTCATTTGAATATTTCAGCTAATTTACGGCTTCTTTATAGTTGTTAAAACACCTTAATTTTTGAGCTTCAGTATTATATACCAGTGATTAATGCTAAAAAAGGAGAATATTAAGAGCGGTCATATGAATAAACAACAAAGATGGAGTAACCTAGTTGATAATAACAATGCTAGGGAACTGCCAAATCTCACCATTCCTCTTCAACTTTGCCATTGATGACAATCTGGAAACAGCTCTGATGGATGTAAGTAATGGCGGTGTGGATCTGTTGCCTGGAGAAAGATTTCTCGACCTTGAGTATGCGGACGATATTGTCTTACTGTGCGATAATGCCCAAGCCATGCAATCCGCACTTAATCAGTTGGCAATCAGTGTCCGTAGGTATGGTATGTGCTTTGCACCTTCGAAGTGCAAAGTACTTCCACAAGACTGGCAGGATTCTAATTCTGTGCTCACCCTGGATGGTGAGCAGATAGACGTAGTTGAGAAGTTCGTGTATCTGGGTAGCTGCATAAGTGCTGGTGGGGGTGTGAGTGATGAGATCATTGCACGTATAGTGAAAACCAGAGCGGCTTATGCCAATCTGGGCCACCTTTGGCGCCTTTGTGATGTTAGTCTGGCTGTAAAAGGTCGGATCTACAACGCGTCGGTGAGAGCAGTTTTCCTCTATGCTTGTGAAACCTGGCCTATCCGAATTGAGGACGTTAGACGACTCTTTGTGTTCGATCATCGATGTTTCCGAAGGATTGCTGACATCCAGTGGCAACACCATGTCAGTAATGCAGAGGTTCGGCATCGTGTGTTCGGGCGCAGAGACGATAATTCAATTGGTGTCACCATCTTGAAACACCAACTTCGGTGGCTTGGGCATGTTCTCCGAATGTCGTCCCAGAGAATTCCACGTCGTGCATTATTTGCCGACTCTGGGACTGGTTGGAAGAAGCGGAGAAGTGGTCAGTGCATGACATGGTGTTGTGGCATGAAAAAAAGCTGCAAAGGACTGGCTTCTGTTGGTCCTTCACGACTCCCTGGTTGGGATCTGAGAGTTGGTGCTACACAGTGGCTAGAGACGTTATCAGATATGGCTCAGAATAGAAGCCAGTGGTGATCCTGCTGTAAACTTCTTTTACTTTCTTCATAAAAAATAATGGTTGTGTCTCCCTTACCTGAAAGATTTCTGATTGTACCTTTCCGTTCCCTCATTTCTACCATACTACCTTACACCAATCTCTTCGTTATTGTTCTCTTTTTTTGCGCTTCTTAGCTTTTTTATCTATTTCTCTTCGAATTCTCATTGTTTTGTGTGGCGCATATATATTGGCGCTCTCTTGTACCAATATGTATGTGTTCAAATAAATAAATAAATAACATATGCGCCACACAAGTCACTTGATTTGTGTGTGGGCTGTGATGCTCTCTGGGTGTCCAAACCGAATCAGGTTGTTTCCTTAGAAAAACACTCTCCGAGCCTTTGACCCAGAGGTCTAGTTCACAAGGCAGTGGAGTAACGAAAGGAGATGCAGTCGCATGGTAGCCGGTGATTAACGATTGGTTCATACGCCATTTGTTTACTCAGGATCCTGGAGCCCATTTGCACTAATGATTTGGAATCAAGGTTTCCCAACTTCCCTAGGTAGATCCTCGATATCCACCGACCCGGTTAAAGACATTCGTTTTTTGTCCTCTCAATTTTGTGAACGACACCCGCCACGAGAAGGCAGTGAGTAGGACATTACTGGCAGGGCTATATACGCGTGGCTATTTGAGAGCATTTCGAGGAGAGCTGACTCTCGCCACTCTCGTCCGTACCAGGGTATTGGGTGGCTTTTCCTTCGTTTACATAACTGTCTGTTTAGAACTGAATGTGTAAAATAAACTTATCCTCATTATGTCTCTTGTTTTGACGTTCTAACGTTATGTGCCGATGGAATCTGAAGTTAGATACGTGTACTAAAAAGTAGCCATCTAGCAGTATAATAACCAACAAATTATGTCGTATTAACTAGATAAATGTTATCGAATAAAAATAACATCTGACAAACTAACTCATTAATTAAGTAAACACTAATATACCTCGACTTGCACCACATCATTTATAAGATCTATCTGGCTTTCCGAAGTAAAAATATGACTTCAAATGATTTGAAAACATATGTGTCGTTCTAATATTCTATTTTACATGTTTCTGTTGTATTTAAAGTGTAAAATTAGGTTGTTATGAAAACGACGGAATGTTTATGCTAATTAATGCTTCATCTGGTCTCTCATCCGATCTTAGTTGAAATCGGTGGATTATGTGAGTATCGCACAAATATTATAAATTATGTGTTGTATATTTCTTTTCCATTTCTTTGTCACTGTCCAAAGTTAAATGTATTTCGGTTTTTGACTTCCTCATCATCCTGTCTCAAACTTTATTGTGAATGTATATTAGGAAAGGGTTTTTATGTAAAACTGAATTGTATGCCCTACAGTTTAGTGGAAAAATTGTAGTCCGATATTGATATAGTATTTATTATTTAAAACAATTAGTCCCTTTGATAAATTTCGATAATGCAATGAGAAGACGTAGTTTATCAGAATTATGTGATATCTTTGCGCAATACATTTCGAACAATCTGATCACACATATACTTGTTAAGAACATTTATATACGAAACATTTTTTGTGTACTTTAATATTTTTTCCTTTGTTATGACTTACCCTTAACCTGTCTAGTTGACCTTTTAATTTTTCATATATAAATGTTCTTAACAAGTATATGTGTGATCAGATTGTTCGAAATGTATTGCGCAAATTAATTATTCACCTAATATCATTGGACACAATATAATGTTTCTAGACTATATTCGTGGGTTCTTATTGATATGTAAAGGGACGTTGTATTGTCTCAAGTTTTTCAACAGACACTAAACTTTATTCCTTGAATCTAGTCGGTATCACGATTCCGTCATGAATTGTTTATAAGTAGTACTGAAATATTTGATTTTTATAGGGTTGGAATGAGCTTGTTTTAACATTTACTCTGTACGAGATGACCAATTAGAATTGTTTCAATCAACGTACATTCTTCAGGTTTCTCAATGACATTTGTGCATTGGTCTATTACATATGACTTTATTCTATAGTAAACGAACCTTACTTAATTGAACTTCCTACCTCCTGACCGTTGTTGCTACCTTGACGTGGTGGTCGGGCTTGCCTATCGCGATGAAGCAAACGAGCTATACTGACTGGAACAACTGTTCCTCAAGGTCCTACCACGTCAGAAAGGTCGGTTGAAGAGCGGTAAGACTAAAAGCAACAAACCCAAGGTCCGAAGGCGAAGTCGTACTGCTGACTGTACAGAGGTGTGACAGCAGTAAGGCGTTTCCTTCAGACAACCAGCATGACAGCAATGCTGCCTTCCCACAAGGAGGAGTGAGGTTAGAAAAGGTCGACCCTAAAGATGCACGCCTCGCCTTATCCCACGGATATCCGTCTCCGGCGGTAAGGTCTCAACAAGTACGGAGTTAACACAAAAATTACCCATAAAAAGGTCGTGTGTGACCGACCTCAAACAGTTGTCCCTTGGGCACTGCGGTCACGCTTCCAGGTCACTAAGACCACCTCTAATCTAATTTCCTTTTCAGGTACCTTCAGAACAACCCTTCCACGGTGTGGGCAACCGGGAAGTGATAACCGCCCTCATACCTCTAACAGCACTCAAGACCACTGTATTCATAATCTACCTCCTTCTTTAATTCATATTATTCCTCCTACATCGACTTCAAACTCTAAACCTCTTCTTTCGGCTTCCCCCTCAAGTGTCACCATAGCCAACGTTTCTAGTGCTCAAAACTCCGTCCCAGGTCTAATGAAACCTCGCTCCACGCTACACATTGGAGCCTTCAACGTACGCACCCTAAGTCAAATCGGTCATCAGGCTTCCTTGGCTAGAACCCTAGAATCTCGTAACACTGATGTATGATGTGTCTCCGTAACACGCAAACAGGATCCTAGTGTGATCATTCACTTGACCTCACCTCGTCAAAACGGAGAGCCAACGAGATACATCCTCCGTGTATCTGGTGACCCGACGGCCAGTTCTCGTAGACTGGCAGGAGTAGGGATAGCACTAAGCATGAGGGCGGAACAAGCACTGTTAGAGTGGATCCCCGTTAACAGTCGTTTATGTGCTGTTCGGCTAAACGGCTCCGTAAGAACTCGGAAGGATAGGGACACACGTCGTTGCCTTTTTGTCGTTTCTGCCTACGCTCCCACCGACTGCAGCTCGGATTGAAGTGAAAGATGAATTTTACAAAGAGCTATCTGAACTTCTTCAGAAAGCTAGACGTTCAGACAAAGTACTCGTAGCAGGTGACTTTAATGCCCAGATAGGTAGTTTAAATCAAACAGAAAGGCATTTAAGTGGGTATTTTAGTATTCCGGCACAACGAACAGATAATGGTGATCGTCTGCTACAACTATGCTCAGACAATCGTTTATTTTTAGCAAACACAAATTTTAAGCATAAGGAGAGACATCGTCTAACATGGCGACCCCCTGCACCAAACCAACGATGGACTCAAATAGACCATATTGCCATCAGTCATCGTTGGAGAGGGTCGGTAGAAGATTGTCGCTCATTCTGGAGTACCTGCTTGGACTCCGACCATGCCCTAATACGGGCACGCATCTGCTTGCGCCTCACTGGACGCAAGAAAGCCACAGTAAAAAGACCCATTAGAATTGAGTTGAGTAGCAAGAAAACGAAAAGTAGGTTCCAGGAACAACTGAGGTCACAATTAAGTAGTTCTGAAAACGAGGCTGACCCAGATGTTGCTTGGAAAGATATGCAAATAGCTGTGGAAACAGCAGTGACATCTATTAGTGAATTAAACCACAGAGTTACAAAGAACCAGTGGATTTCTTCAAAATCTATCACACTGATGGATTCTCGCAAACTCGTCCCATCAGGTTCCGAACATGATGAAGATCGACAACAAATCAGATCTAGGTTAAGAAAAAGTCTAAGAAACGACCGTGAGCAGTGGTGGGCAACGAAAGCAAAAGAGATGGAAAAGGCGGCGACTATAGATAAGACAAGACAGCTTTACAGACTAATAAAAGAAACTGGAATTAATAAGTCAAGTGTAAGTGAGATTATTTCGGAAAAAGACGATACTCTCATCTACTCCCAGTCCAGACGTTTAAAACGATGGGCGGAACACTTTAGGGAACAGTCCAGCTGGCCTTCAGCGACTCTACAACTACCCTCCATTCCCACACAGTGAATGGAACATTGAAGTAGGTCCCCCAACTCTAGCAGAAGTTCAAAAGGCTATAGTTAATCTGAAACGAGGAAGGGCAGCTGGTCCAGATGGATCGGCTCCAGAGGTCTTTAAAGATGGTGGTCCAATTTTAGGGATTAGGTTGACTAATATTTTATCTAAGATCTGGGAGTTGGACGTTATCCCATCTGACTGGTCTCAATCACTTATCGTCCTAATATATAAGAGTGGGTCAAAATCATCCTGTGACAACCATAGAGGGATTAGTTTAACTAATATAGTATCTAAAATACTAGCCTCGATAATTATCAGAAGCTTAACGAAGACTCGTGAACTGCAAACACGAGAGACTCAAGCTGGCTTCGGACCTGGTCGTGGCTGCATCGACCACATATTCACCATTCGTCAGGTTCTAGAACACAGGCATACTTATCGACGTCCGACAATGGTGGTCTTTCTCGACTTAAAAGCAGCATTTGACTCGGTAGACCGCGAGATTCTGTGGCAGTGTCTGTCATTGAAAGGCGTACCACAGAAGAACATAAACCTTGTGAAGGCTCTTTACTCGAACACTACCAGTCGAGTCAGAGCTTATGGCGAACTGTCATCTACTTTTGCAACCTCAAGTGGTGTCCGTCAAGGCTGTCCACTTTCCCCATCTTTGTTCAACTTCATCATAGATCTACTGATGGAAATAACTTTCTCGTCGACTGAGTTCTCGGGTATTGATCTTCCAGGAGGTCCACTTATCGACTTAGAATACGCAGATGATATAATCCTGTTTGGTGAAGACGCTGACAAAATGCCGAGTCTTTTGGTAGCACTAAGCAACAATGCCAGAATGTTTGGAATGCACTTGTCTCCCTCTAAATGCAAGTTGTTGCTTCAGGACTGGCCTGTGTCAACACCTGAACTAAGGATAAGGAGTAAAGTAGTCGAACTCGTCGACAACTTCACTTATCTTGGAAGTCTGATCAGCCCTAATGGGTTGGTATCGGACGAAATCGCAGCACGGATTCGAAAAGCTCGTTTGGGTTTTGCCAACTTACGTCACCTTTGGCGGAGGCGAGATATCCGTCTATCAATAAAAGGACGAGTATACTGCGCGGCAGTCCGTTCTGTTTTACTTTACGGCAGCGATGCATGGCCTTTAAGAGTAGAAGACACTCGTAAGCTACTAGTATTTGACCACAGATGCTATATAAATATTGCTGGCATCTGCTGGGATCACCAGGTAAGTAATAGTGAGGTTAGACGCAGGGTATTAGGGAATGATGGTAAATCAGTTGATGAGGTTATGAATCTTCATCGACTGAGATGGTTGGGCCACGTATTACGTATGCCTGAACACCGATTACCACGACGTGTAATGCTAACCGGCGTTCGGGATGGTTGGAAGAAAGTTAGGGGCGGCCAAACCAAAACGTGGCATCAGTGCCTGTAGTCACTAATTTCTAGTCTGAGCCATGTTGGTAGATGCAGACTACTTGGTTGGTGTCTACGTGACTATCGTAACCATTGTTTGGAGACTCTTGGTGACATGGCTCAGAATCGGTCACAATGGCGTCGGTGTATACACTTTCTGTCTTCTCTTAAACTAAGAGATTAAAATCACTTCATATCTTTTTTTCTGCTAACTAATTCTTTCTTCCTGTGCTATATCCTTATACACAATCTTTCTTTTATATATTACCACCATTGACCTAACCACTACTTTGAATCCGGTGTTCATCTTGCTGTGCTAATGATGTATGGCAACGTGAACCGATGCATTTATGTGCCTGGTCTTACGTTGTAGCTGACTGACTGTTTCAAAATGTGTACAAATACATATAACAACTTCAAGAAGTCTGCTGATCATCACTGTACATGTTAAACTGATCAGCGCTGATATGTCTATGAACATTTGTAATCTCTTGCATACCTAATTTTTAATTTGTTTGTTACAGTTGGAATTGTCTGGTCTCATTGCAACAATGCAGACATTCGAATATATCTATGTATGGGAACGTAAATCATATTATATTTATTGTTAATTCGCCTACACGTTGGGTTTTATGTTGTTTGTATCATTGGTTGTTAAAACAAAAGTTACAAATATTATTCATGAGTTGGTATGCAAAAACTACGAAGCAAAAACACAATTTTCAAAATGAGTGCTTTCTTTTTATACATATTTTGAATCTTCTACACACTTTTAATTAAAATTTCTTACATAAACTTATTTTGATTGAAACATTGTTTTAACTATTGTACATCAGAATTTTCTAAAATTGATTATACATAGCTTATATTTGTATATAAATCTACTTGTCAATTAATTTCTTGTCTTTTAACTACTTCTTTATTTGTGATTTACTGTCTGCATCGACCAGACTGCTTCCATTTTTTTGTTTCACCACTATGCGGCTTAGAGTAAAAATATTGGAGTATAAGTATTGTTTAAATAAGACTATGTCATTTCAATGCAATTGGTTAATTCGGTATTTTTCGACGACTGTAAAATCATCAACAATAGTGCATGGAGGTTACACATTAAAATTTTTCTATCTGTTCGCAATCTACTTATTTACTTAGATAGTTGACGACCCTTTTCATTGTAGAGCAAAAATAGCTCTATTTAACCTACCACAAAATTAATAAATACACTATTGTAAACCACTGTCGTAGAATATACATTTTTCTGCTTTTAAGTGCAGTAATGACAAATTACTTACTTAAAAATTTAGTAGGATGTAATATTTGAAGAAGCTGTAGCCTAATGAAAGGGCTGTAATCACTTTGTCAATAAATGTTCTATAGAAAGCTTAAATTATACAAAATTTAGATGGAAATAACCGGTAGGTGAAATTCTTGATAATATGATGAAAATACAAAGAAAATCGCTCGAATTCATTAAACTACAGTAAAATGAGCTAAGCTATGTCATCGAGCTATATAAATAATAATATGCTGTTGATAATTCTTGCTCAAAGTTTTTAAAACGAAAGAGATTTATTATAGGGCTTAAGGTGAAAAGTTTTATTGATATCTAAGGAAGGTTTCCAGTGAGTTGTTAATACAATTACTATATATATATATATATATATATATATATATATATATATGATTGGCGAAATTTTCGGACGTTAGTAATCAGTGAAACAAAGTTAATTTAGCTTTGCTAAACAACACAATAATTTTTTTTTGAGAATACATGTAATAAAGAAGGCGGCGTATGACTTTAAACGTTCTATACGACTCATGTTGTAAGCTCTTTAGAGATAAGTGTGAACTTGACTAAAGATTTGTCAATCATCTATAAAACAGACTAAATACAGGTAATGGTGGTCAATGTGGAGCGATTCATTATGGAATTACTCGATACCTGGTTTAAGATTCCTTTAGAAAATACAGAGGCTGAAGCTTCCGAAAATAATAAAACGTGAGTGTTACTAGTGTCGTTTTTCGTTGAACGACGAAACAGTCGACTTGTCTTGTTAACGATGTGCAGCAGCTCGTATTTATGGTTCGTCAACTATCTGGTAACTGTAAACAATCCCTCGACCAGACGAGCATGAATAAGTGACTTGCATCTACATCCACTAGCTTGCCTAATTTGTTAGTTATATGATATTTGGCGAAACATGTCTTCGTGTTGATGAGGATGTTGTCGGTCGCTGCAAATGTCTTTTAATTTCGCACTCGTATTGTAAAAATCATGACGGCTATCACCGATAATAAAATGACAGGAAGTTTCAGTTTGATATTTTTTCAGCTGTCTGACAAACTCTTCTTTATTTGAAAATCAAACATCTCTTTGAAAATGTTCTCAACTTTGCTGTTTAAAAATAAGGATCGTAATTTGGTACTGACAGTTTTATTCATCCAGAAATGTACTCCGATGGACGTTCGGAACTATTTTTCTGACTGGTCGATCTGTTAAGAGCAGAAGAGTATACAGAAACAATTTTACACTTAAGAACTTGGTTTTAGTCAACTAAATATCATTCGTAATTAACGTGCTAAGGCGGTTGCAACACTACTCACGTTTGTTAACGATGCCAAAATCTTACTAGAAATGATAAACGCAAGTCCCAACTAGCATTTTACCGATATCTTTTTTGTGTCCTAAAAATCATTCGTCCAATGAAGTTTCTGATTACTGTTGTTTTAAGAGGGATATACAGTGAGAGGATAATTAGTGGACTCACGTTTTCTGGTAATTATTTGCAAGAATAATTTAGCCACTTTAAGCAGTGGTTTTGAAAGTGGTCACTGACACGGAATGTGTGTTCCGGGCAAATAATGTGTATATTCATATGAACGAGGTGCGGAGTATTACGCTATACTCCAATTTTACATAACGTCCTTGAATGGATTCTGTGAATGAAGATAATTTGTAATAGTTTTTCTTTGTCACTCTTGATCAAATTTATTTGCTTGTTGGTTTCCCGTATGTACCTGAAAGGCACAAAACCAACAATTAAAACTCGGTGTGATTTTTTCTCTAAGAGTACCAATATCTATTACATACATCTGTTGTGATACTTCTGTCCTATAATTCCGATTCCTACTATTCTTCAAGCAATAATGAATATCCGAACTCTCATCAACTTTCATGTTAAATATATCTAACTCTTAACCTCATTAAAAGGATGTAACCGTCCAAATTTAAATGAAATATTAGAGGGTGCGATTGGAGGTTATTCAATTGTTCTTAAGTGTGATGCCTACAAAAAATTTGGATAGTTGAGAAAAGTTTGCAATCTAAACCGATATGCATTAGTTCTTAAAATTGCTTTTCAATTATCGAAAAATCAGCTTCCTCATTTCATCTGTGTATGTAGGAGATTAACCATTATCAAAGCGGTATAACATGGAAAATAACCTACCATTTTAATCATACGGTAATTTGAAGATGAAGGACAGGCCACTTAAGAATAATTTGAACTTTTAATGTTATTGCAACTTCTCTGTTGCTACAAACTGACGAAATTATGTACTTGTATTTTACATTGCATTTAAGGTCTTTCTGTATTTGTGAATCGAGTGCTGTTGGCACACAATTATGATTATGTTATATACCGATGAGAATAATGAATGGTAACTTTTGGGACCCATTTATGAACCAATACTATACGTTTATTTTTATCGTATAATTATTCTAACAGGGTATCTGAAATTTCACATTTTCATTCATAAGTAATTAGCTAGCAGATTTTAATATTGCTACTTCTAATACTAGTGAATCTATGATGATCAGTTATTTAATAAATATCCATTACATAAGAGTGGTTTTCTGAACAGTACTTACACTTGATTTATTGTAATATGTGATGATGATAAACTGTGAATATGATACGTACAGGTATCCTACAGTACAAAAATAGAAGTTTTTATCCTCATAACTTATTTATAAGCACGTGAATATTCGCCATACTCTATCAGTGGTTTATCCATCATTTAATAATAAGAAACACGTAAATTATCATGCGCCTTTGCCTATATTCGTTTAGGTGTGTAATACAATACGCAGTAGAATGTACCATATCATAGCCCGTTTTAAACCTTCAAATGTCAGGATTCGGCATAAGTCAAACAAAAAGAGAATACTTTGTGACTTTTGTCGCTAACCGATATCATCATAGGGATTATTTAAATACCATGAAGTAATTGACAGCTGTTTCGTACTTTCTCGTGACCCCTCAGATATTTCCACTAACGTCACTCGGAACATTTATTATTTGTGATGAACACGATGCATTCCGTTTAGGTTTCATAATAGTTGATTTTTGATAAAACTTGGTTTTCATTCAATATAATCCTTAAGTTAATGTTTCATTGGAGACTTTGCTGACTCTGTACGTCACACTTCCCATTAATAATAATCTTACTTTTCGACTACAATTCATATTAGTTTAAACAATTGATCGCACAAAGCTGATGATTATTTTTCATAACTTTAATGAATAGTTGGCAGTACATCTAAACACCAGTTATGTTGTGTATGTATGGTAGAATACTGTTTTCAAAGTCGTTTACTAAAATCACATAAATTCGAAACATTGTTAACTGATGATATGATGGGAGAGAAATAAGAAAAGACTACTGATTACCTACTGGGACCCGTAGTAAGAAAAATAGAGTATTTTGAATAAAGTTGAAATTGTATCCGATGTCTAGTATTTATCTACACGAGACAATTCAGTCATAATCATTGATCTTGAGAAAGACTAAACATAAGGAAATATGGTTTTAAAGAAAGTTCTTTTGAAGGACAAAAACTACGAAACAATATTAAAGCTCAATATTTCGAAACGAGATGGAATGTAAATGAATCACTTAAACCGATTCTGAGACACACCAACTATCTCCAACGACTGGTCACGACGATCCCAAACAGTCAACGACTTTGTGGATTGATACGTCATTTTTAGGAAAAGTAAAGAGCCGCTTTAAAATGAAGACAGTAAAGAAGAGATATGAAACAAACAAATGATAAAAAGACTAAGCAGTATCGTACCCTAGATTTTCCGAGGGTTGTCAGCTTGAATCCCTACAGTGTTCGCTTTCATTATGAGGTGAGGACGAACCCCATCCCGGAAATTTGATGACTGACTTACGTGATCATTATCGACTAGTTGTGACAGTATTAAGTCACGCATTGACTCTGATAGACCCTGTACAAATCAAGAAGTAAGGTGCTCACTAGTTGTGTGGTCCTACTCTAGATATAGCTCTTTTCACAGAGCAACTGAGTTGGTAACTACACATAAAAGAAGCGAAACCAGGTAACTTGTAGTATCGGTTGCTATGTTAAGCCCATATAGCTTATTCTAGCTTCCGGACAAGCCAATTTACTCATTTTCTCTGACTCACAATTTGACATTTTCGCTTATCAACCTTGACTGTTTTTATATGAGCGTATGTGTGCCCTTCTTACCCTATTCATCGCGTATCTGTAGCTTGCTTTTGTTCGGCTATAAATATTGATTAACTCTTGATTAAATATAGTTGGGTCACACGCCTTCTACAACGTGCATCATTTCACTCCGTTACTTCGATCGTTTGTATCGATTACCAATTGTACGAAATACACGTATTCAAAATTCACTCTTGTATTTGGCTTATTTAATTCCGTTATGCACTAACGCGAGTTAAGTCGGTGATTATATACGAGAATAGTCAGGATGTATATTTCGACAGCAATTATTTGATAATAATCAGAAACGATCCTTATGGAGTCAGATATAAGGCCACTAAAAACTTATCCTTTAGCTCAAGCATTACTTCTAGTTGACTACAAAAGATACACTGAGACTACTTTTTCACTGCTCTCATTAATTTAGAATGTAGCACATTGCTAGTTATAGCTTCGTTACAACGAATCCTCATAAAGAGAGATTTACAAACAGTCTATATATATATATATATATATATATATATATATATATATATAATATATATATATATATATATATATATATATATATATATATATACCATCCCGTACACTGTATACAAGTCAGTATAAATTTCACCAAATTTAGTTACTTGTTTGTGGTGTTGCCTGAGAATATATTTCTAGCTCCTTGTGAGTATCGGGTTAAGTTTTTCCTGTAATCAGTGGATAAGAAGTTAAGACGTTTATATTGAGATATAGGTGAACTCTTTATATATACACTTATACTGACAGATCCACCTTCTTTTCTGTTTGGAAAAAATTTCGGGAAAATAAAATTTGTCAAGTGCCTCCTCATAAATGAAGTTAACTTTCAAGTGTACACTGTTATATTACCCTAGAAGTTCTTAAGTAAAAATCTGATGAATGTTGCAGAAGCAAAAATCAAGCTTATCAATTGCCTTGAGGGTCTCATTTCCTGATTTTGTAAAATATCTATTGAGATAGGGTTTGAACGTGAACTTTCTATTCACTCCGCCTGTTTATTGTGTGTTATTTAAGACGAGATGAGCGTTCAGTATACATCTTGGAAGTAATTCCTTAGGATTAATAATGGGAATTCTGATGTTGATTTGCTTTTTTGATGGTTGCTAGCACAAAATGCTAACCATCTCAGTGAATGATAAATTGATGGACAAAGAAGTAACATATAGAGATATATGCTTCCTCTCTAAATGAATATATTAAAACCTGGAAATGAAATCGAAAGCTTCCCTGACGTTTTTGTTAACATAAGACCACGAAGATTCCGGGGTGCGTATCAGAGAATGAATTATATCCGCATTTTACGGAATAGATAATTAATATAGAACAACTCGATAAATGCTTTGACACAGGTTGATTTCATGTTGATTGTCATTATCAGTTGGCATCATAAAACAACCCACTTATCCACAAAATTATTCAATCTAGTTGTGAAAGACATAAGAAAATATAAGTTAGATAGTCACTTTGTCAAATATTGAAAGTCGTAAGTGAAGACGTTCGTATGGATATTCGAGATTGATTATAATAACAAGAACCCTTTACTAGTTAACTGGTATAATTTAAGGCATACCAAACTTATTGCTGAATATAGTTGTTAGCCGGATATACATTAAGGGTAACGAAAAGGTTCGAAAAACTAATATTGTAAGAATACTTCCAAAGTCCATGATGACTCAAAACCAGTCATATCTAGCGTGAGGCCTGCCACGTATGTGCATATGTCCAGTTTGCCACTACACATGACAGCAAGATACCAGAGTTGTATAAATAATAACAGTATTAATAGAAGAGATTAGACGTAGAAGATATGTTTGGGAAAACATAGGTTCGTGGAATAAGAAAACCAAGAAACTTACTATGTGAAGGCAGATAAAGACTGAATACATCTGCGCTACGGAGAACTATTTAGAACCTTGTCACCCAAAGTCTCTAACCACAACTGGCCCCCTTTATATAGAAGTGAATGAGATAGGTACTATCAATACACTCCAAACTTATAAAACACGTGCTCTTAGAAGTGTATTAGTTGTTATCACTTCTCAACTAAAGCTATTTTCAAAGCTATAAACTTGACTACTTTCAAATAATTGGAAAGATGTTAACAGGTAAGTACATTGTTGTGAAAGCTTCGTTACATAATTTTTAAATAACTTTAAAAAACAAATAAGTTGTTTTCAAAATAATATTTAATATTCTAGATAATTTGAAAAAGATAAACAAACTCGAGGGAGTAAAATAAATTATGAACTAAAGAAAAGCATTTTGTTTTCAGAGAAGAACGAGAAATAGAGGAGGGATCGGTCAAATAAGCATTGATTCAATCTGGAGGTTTTAAGTTATATTTACATGAATTATTCATAAATTGATTAGTTACGCTGTCATTAGTGGAACTTTTGGAAGTGAAGGTGGTTGATTCTTTTGTTACACAATTTGTAAGTATTTCTGACGAACCATTGTTTGTATTGACATTAAAAAACCCCATTAAATAAGGATTACACGAGTTTGAAGTTGGTGTATTTAGTGAGCTATTTAGTACATTTCCTGAAGATGATGTAACATAATGAACTGAATTTAACTGTGGAACTAAAAGTAATCGATTTGTGGCCATTTGTGCAGTTAAAAGAAGGCTAGAGGATAACGGAGTTAATGAGAGAACATTTTGTGATGGAGATACACTAACTGGAACATATACCACTTTTTTACATTCAGATGAGTTGGAATTGTTAGTTGCCTGAGAAATATTATTACAAAACGCTTCATTATTTAACGACACAGTATGACCATTTTGACCAGAATCTATAATTGTACTTGGGATGATATCAATACGATGCTCCAATTCATCAACATGATTCCGATTTAACAATTTAGGAACTGCGTCATTTTGTAACGTTGAGTTCACTTTACTATTTTTATTGGATACATTTTTTAAATCGCTAACGTATTCCTTTTTACCAAATGTATCACTGTTAACTGTACTATCTTCCTTCCTGCAACTTTTCCGACTATTTACATTTTTATTAACTTGCGAACTGTTTAAATCTGGCTGATCAGTTTTCATCGATGAATTGTTTGGATTCACAGATGAACTTAGACAAGTCTGTATTAACTTTTTACCACATTCCAATTCAATAATACCTTTTAATCTTTGTGTTGCAAACGTATAAACATGATTTGTTTCTGAAGCAACAAGTAATAATACTTCTGCACCGGTTAATTCCGCCAATTCCACAGCCTTTTTCATAAGTCCAGTTTTACGTTTTGAAAAAGTAGAATATCTCTTAGTACGATCAGAAATAAATTCAATAGGTATCTTTTGTTTTCCTTTGGTAAGTTTTTCACAAGAATTACGTTCGTCTGTGAAACAAGGCTGTCGGGCAATCATATCAGTGATACCATTAACGTTGGCGCATAATCTGCGCTTACTACCGGGTGGATGAATATCAGAAAACGATGTATCGTCATTAACTTCAGAAATATTGATCAATTGAACGCTATTATTTCCTAATTGTGAGTCTAATTCACTGTCACTAGTAAAATTATAACTGTTATCTCCGCTGTTTGACAAATTTTCTGGGCATTCAGTGATGAATTTGTAAACATGAGGTGATGACTCTGTAAAATATATCCCATTATTGACCGAATGAGCAACACTTTCCATAGTTTCCATACTTTTCCTAGTAAAAAAAATAAGCTGAATGCTGATTTAGAAAAAAGTTTATATAAATATCTAGACCATATATAACATGTTGAAGCAGGTTATATTGTTAATTGATGTGAAAATTTTAGAAAATATTCGGAATGTTAGTTGTGAAATGGAATTTCAGATTAAGTGAAGATTAATATATGACACTTGTTAAATAAACAGATATTAACGAAGTAAAGTCTCACACGTATCAGACTGGCTCTCTGGTCACCAGAACATAGCGGCCAACGACTACCTATATAGGTACTTAACGCTTCAACATTATTTCATCTCTAATTTCAAATAAGGTGTTGATACCAATAGGTTTTGATAACCTATTATTAAATTAAGTTTAAACAAATCTCGAGAATTTCGAGATTTCTGTTAAAGATATTGACAAATTTCGGGATTATTGTTCTAAATAGTCTCCGGATTAACAAACCTATGGGAAATCGGACATACTCGAATTATATCTGCTAGATTGATAAAAGTAATGAGAATTTAATAAAAGCCGAGATATTTGCTAATATATAACAGCCTGTCATATATTCTTAGATCATTGAATGAGCAAAAATTTTTATAACCATCGAATGCTTTATAGCTCTACCATTCCACCGAAAAGTATGGATGAGCATTAGTTTCAATTGCATGACGCCATGAAAATGGCGGGTACAGTCAGTTGTGGGTTCGCGAAACATCCCGCTTATAAGCATTGGGTTTCTTCTGGTTCCTTACAACTCATTGAAGCCCGTCGGTCTACTCCGGGTGACCGTGAGTTTGACCATAAACGAAGGATGTTACGTAAGGAAATTGGGCAAAGCTTGCGTAAGGACCGAGAAGCCTGGTGGTCGAAGCGTGCTAATGAGCTGGAAGCAACAGCTGCATCTGGTAGTTACCGGAAGCTCTTCCAACTCATCCGAGCCACTGTCAGCAAGAAGTCTGGTGTGAGCGAAACAATCAGCGAGGATGATGGGATGCCAATCACTAACATCCATCGACGTCTTGGATGATGGGCAGAATTTTTCTAAGGGCAGTTCAACTGGCCTGCTGCTTCAGCAACATCGGTCAAACTGTCCTGCCCTCCATGGCCGGTGACGACTGATCCACCAAATGAGGCGGAAGTCCACAAGGAACTCCAACTCTCTGGTCGAGGATGTATTGATCATATCTTCACCCTCCACCAAATGTTAGAACACAGCCATATTTATCACAGGCCAACAATCGTAGTGTTTCTTGACATTGGGGCTGCCTTCGATTCGTTGGTTAGGACTGTTCTCTAGGATTGTCTATTGAAGAAGGGTGTGTCTGAAAAGTTTATTAACATCCTAAATGCCCTATATACAAACACCTCAGACAGAGTGAGAGCATACAACCACCTCTCTCCATTGTTCCATTCGAGCAGTGGAGTTAGACAAGGTTGCCCAGTCTCACCATTCCTCTTCAACTTTGCCATCGATGACAATCTGGAAACAGCTCTGATGGATGTAAGTAATGGCGGTGTGGATCTGTTGCCTGGAGAAAGATTTCTCGACCTTGAGTATGCGGACGATATTGTCTTACTGTGCGATAATGCCCAAGCCATGCAATCCGCACTTAATCAGTTGGCAATCAGTGTCCGTAGGTATGGTATGTGCTTTGCACCTTCGAAGTGCAAAGTACTTCCACAAGACTGGCAGGATTCTAATTCTGTGCTCACCCTGGATGGTGAGCAGATAGACGTAGTTGAGAAGTTCGTGTATCTGGGTAGCTGCATAAGTGCTGGTGGGGGTGTGAGTGATGAGATCATTGCACGTATAGTGAAAACCAGAGCGGCTTATGCCAATCTGGGCCACCTTTGGCGCCTTTGTGATGTTAGTCTGGCTGTAAAAGGTCGGATCTACAACGCGTCGGTGAGAGCAGTTTTCCTCTATGCTTGTGAAACCTGGCCTATCCGAATTGAGGACGTTAGACGACTCTTTGTGTTCGATCATCGATGTTTCCGAAGGATTGCTGACATCCAGTGGCAACACCATGTCAGTAATGCAGAGGTTCGGCATCGTGTGTTCGGGCGCAGAGACGATAATTCAATTGGTGTCACCATCTTGAAACACCAACTTCGGTGGCTTGGGCATGTTCTCCGAATGTCGTCCCAGAGAATTCCACGTCGTGCATTATTTGCCGACTCTGGGACTGGTTGGAAGAAGCGGAGAAGTGGTCAGTGCATGACATGGTGTTGTGGCATGAAAGAAAGCTGCAAAGGACTGGCTTCTGTCGGTCCTTCACGACTCCCTGGTTGGGATCTGAGAGTTGGTGCTACACAGTGGCTAGAGACGTTATCAGATATGGCTCAGAATAGAAGCCAGTGGTGATCCTGCTGTAAACTTCTTTTACTTTCTTCATAAAAAATAATGGTTGTTTCTCCCTTAACTGAAGGGTTTCTTCAGATTTTATCTTTCCGTTCCCTCATTATTACCACTATTATTATTACACTACCTTACACCAACCTCTTCCTTATTGTTCATTTTTTACCTTCCTTACTTTTTTTCTTTTTCCTTCTCTTTAAATTCTCATTGTTTTGTGCGGCGCATATATATTTGGCGCACTCTTGTACCAATATGTATGTGTTCAAATAAATAAATAAATATCCAAAATGATCACCTAAGGTGTAATGAACCATCAAATGTCAGCTTAACACAAACACTCCTTGCTTTAAGCCACGTTTCAGTAAACTAATAATCACGCAATCTTTACCACAAAGTCCAGTAATAATAAATAGCAATTAGTACGTAGGCCGTTCGGACGGTATGGGGATGTGTGAGAGTCCATAAAATTAGCTTTAAATTCGAAGAAAAGGATCATTTGCAAAGAAAATCACGCTTATGAGATATTGCCACTGAGTGCGAGGAATGTTTAAAAAATAACGATTATCAAATTAAGAGACAGCTGTTGAACATAGTTTAGAGAGGTCAGACTTGGCTAACACTGTCGCACGTTAGCCGAAACATTTAGTGCCAGGTTAACTTTGGGATGAAATCGACAACATCCTGAAGTTTCTCGTGATGCTTTGGTTTTTACAACCAAAAGTGATATTTTTAATACATCCGTTATCATACAACTATGAACAAAAATGATGTTCCAAATATTTGTTACAGCCTAATACCTATGGTACGTAAAGACAATTCCTTAGTTTTTCAGAATTATCCTGCACTTTGACGAAGCCCAAAATACCAGGACTTTACGAACATTTATAAGTGATTGAGTGCCATATGACTAACCGGCATGTACTCATAATGAGACTATACGAATCATGTGCAAAATGTTAAAAGTTGGTCCTGAGTAATAAGTAAACAACACTAGTAAGCATACCATTTAAGGTTATCTACAAATTATCAGAAGATAAGTAGAAATAACGGGAGAATATCCTATTATATTGATGTTTTGAAAATCGATAATTTGAAAAGGCCAAAATTCATATTGAAACCCAGTATCTAGCGGAAGATAAAGAGCGGACGCATATGTGCTACCTAAGTTACAACATGCGACAAATAGTGAGTAGCAAAACATGATAGTAAGCACACCGTGAAATTCTGATACTGAGAATATGAAGTTAGGTGTCATTACGGGTAATTCATAATATGAACACACGAACCAAGATAAACCAGTTATGAAGATGTCATTTATTATTTTGAATTCACAACCCTTATGAAACTGACATTCGAAACTACATCAGTAGAGGGTGTATGTAGTCACCGCAAGTGTAAAAGAACTATTGGAGAAAAACAAAGTAAAAATGAATAAAACATTTTTAAGCACAAAGGGTTTCTCTACATAATCGCGATACAAACACCCAGTCTGAATTTGCGTGCACTTTAACGTACGCGGATTTGGAGCTTTACTTATTAGATAGTTGACCACATATAACCTAAAAATTACTATATGCATATGGTAATGAAATCCCGTAACATCACTTCATAACTAAGGGACAAATTGTTAAAACTCCAAAGAATCTACACAGAAATACTTCAAAAAAAAGATAAAGATATTTCCAAGTCTGAGATTCTAATGTAAACAATATTAAATTGACTATATTAAGGCACATTAGAATCGAGTTTATATCCTAGTAGAGGGGACCTGTCACCTATGCACTAAGATAAATGTAAAAATACCAACTTTGATCGACAGATAGAGATGATAAACACATTCCGTTACAATAAATGCAAATTACAAACCTTTACGACACGAGAAACAAACTAATCCGCAACACTCAAAACATGCTCCTCAGCCCAATATTCAATATCATGGGGACGAACAAGTACCTTCATTTCAATTTTTCTCTCTATTGTCTTAGTGTTAAGGAGTGGTCTCAGATACTCAGCAGGTTCTATAAGATTTAGTTACAATTGTTTCGGCTGGCGAGTAGAGTCCGTAGACGAGTATTTGATGTTGCTGTGATCATATATTCCAATATTGTTGGGAAGCTATATCTTTATGTGCAACTGCTAAATTTCGAAAAATACTCAGGATGCATCCATGCTTTGTTCTTACCACTTAGCCTCGAAAATAATAACAGTAGTGACTTCTTAGCTCATTTCATATATTTCAATGGAAGTGAAGCCTATAGTCATTCGAAGTACATGCATGGCCATTATTATTAATAATGGCTTTGTTATTGAGAACTCAATGAGTTCTGGTGTGGTGTTTGAATTAACTAATGATTCTTTTGTACTTGTTGAATGCTCGATTTCGAATTCTAAATACAGTACATTCGTTGTGCCTGTGTCTTCTTAATTCAATTGCGTTAATCCTGGAATTCCTAATTCATACTATAATTAGAATACTATATTGGCGTCGCGAAGGAGCCTGCAATGGAAAAGTTAGATATTCATTCAACTTCGGAAGCTTTTGAAGATTACTTTGAAAGGTTCGAAATCTGGGCTATGACCAAGGAAGATGATGAGGATGTTAATATTGTGGCACACTTCCTCACATTCATTGGAAAAGAAGCATACAGCTTATTAAGAACTCTGGCTATGCCGGAAAAACCCATTTCGCTTTCTTATACAGCTCTCAAAGATCTACTGCTAGACTATGCTCAGTATACAAATTTCAAATGTCGTAAAGGAGGAAGATTTCGTAAAATGATTCATGAGGATATAAAAAAGTCCACTACATTACTACGTCATCTCAACCTAGTGCATACTCAAGGTTATGCAGACAATTCATTGAATTTGGATGCAGTTCACGAGGATGGGGACAAGTTTGGTCAGTGTTTGTCCTGTTGCAAGTTCCACTCTTCTAATTCATGTAAATTTCATAATTCTAAATGCTTCAAATGTCGTGATATTGGACAAGTTCAGTCAGTTTGTAATGCTAATGTTCATCTTACTGCAATTAATATTAAATCTTGTAATTCTGATTCTACTGAGTCGAGTATTCATGATGATCATTTATCTTTATCAACGATTTCAAAAGACAGTGCAGAGTCATATGGCAGTTCAGAGTTAAATGAAATCCAGAATTCTTGTGAGACAACATTTCTTAATCAACCGATTTATCAGAATTCTCATGCTATTGTACCAAGTATGACTTTTCCTAATGATTCACATATTTCTAATGAAATTACTTGCAATTCTGAGGAAAATATGTTAAATGAACCTAATCATGATCGAAAACCTGATGTGGTTTGGATAGATGCTGATTTCTCTAACGATCCTACGCTCTGCAACGACAGTCCTGATGAATTTCATGAGAATATTTCAGAAGAATCAAATCCTGATGTCATATCATATATTACCTATCCTCATAATGTATTTGATCTTCGTGAAAAACCTGCCCAATGTGAAGCACGAGTACTAAGTGACCTCGAGTTTTATTATATTTCGGATGATTTCATATCAACTGCTGTTTACTCTTATCACAAAAACAGTTCTAATGTTTACTCTAAACAATGTGAGATATATGTTTTAAATGAAGCCACATTATTCATAACTTGGGAGTATAAAGATCCAACATTATTTCGTGGGGGGGGGGATAGTGTTGAAAAATCTATGGTTCGAATTCTAGATATTAATGATTTCATTACAAAACCGACATGCTGGTTGTATACAATTCCAGGTGAGTCTGTTCCGATTTCGTTTGTTAATTCCAATACTAATGAGCACTTTCTAGATACTACAAAGTTTTTATCTTATACAATGTCGGACAGACTCAGGATGAACTTAAAAAGAAGACGTACAACCGATTACAAACACTTATACTTCTATTTAAGCTGTGGCGGATGTGGTGTTTGAATTAACTAATGATTCTTTTGTACTTGTTGAATGCTCGATTTCGAATTCTAAATACAGTACATTCGTTGTGCCTGTGTCTTCTTAATTCAATTGCGTTAATCCTGGAATTCCTAATTCATACTATAATTAGAATACTATATCTGGTCAAGCCACCTATCATACTGACTGATCAGCTCATCGTACAGCTTCAAAGTCAGGAACGACCAACACGAACTAATAAATTGCACGCTGAGTTGTGCCGTGTTTCAGTGGTTCCATTATGGGTTAACTAATCTGTGCTTACTTCTGTGCGGTCATCAAACAGGTCAAAGCACTCGTATACCACAAAAGATTATCCATGCTAGTGATTAACCGCGATTAGTAGACCCGACGCAAACCAGGACACACCAATCCTGTTCAATGTGATTAGTGACTTGTGTTATTCCTGGCTGTATAAGTTTCTCAGATAGTCTGACTGCGTTTTAAAACCATTAATGGATAGAGCTCCAAATTTTTAATGTCGCTGATAATCCGTGGGGATGTCTTATATCAGCTGACAGAACTTTTCAGAATGTCCCTGCAAACTTTCCAGATAAATCACAGTGTAAAGACGGCCTTTGGCGACCTTGAGAATCTCTAAGCTGTTGAGGATACGGTCGTCATGTGGAAATAATTTGTTGTGAAATAATTTACTGAGTATAACCAGTTTTACATTGTTGATGAACTCGTAGAATTATAGTCTACGTTATTATTAGTGTCATTATAATAATAGACCTTGTCTTCAAATTGTAGAGTTGCTATGATGTGACTACCCAATCTATAAGATCTTACGTGGAAGTCACATCTTTGTCTACACTGACTCATCCTAATTCGGGAAAACACATTTCGGCTGGAAATAGAGCAATATATGTAATGTGAGTAAGAGAAATAAGCTACACAAGCATGCTCATGCCTAAAATGCTGAGCCATGCCAACCGACTGAATTCAAATGAACTCCCCCACCTTTATTGTTAAACTTCTCTTCGTATCAGTTGTTGAATAAAAAATCTTTTCAGTAGTTATACGCTCGGCTTCAAATGTCGTGTGGTTAGGATTTAATGCCACAATAAACTCAAGTTCTCAGGAGGAGTTTGAACACGATACGTCTAGCATGTTACTATGCTCATATGGCTCGACATCATCTCACCTGTGGATTTATATAATGTCGAAAATTTCTCAGTCTAGACCATTGAGCTTCTATGTTGTTAGTGCGTAAACCAGTTGTCTGATCCACAATATGCCATTTATAAACAACGACATGACGGAGATTTCCAAGTCTGCAAATACACTGACACGCTCTCCAATAGGCTGTGTAAAGTGATGTTCCTGATTTACATATTATTTAATTATTGCTAGGATAGTCGAGGTGTTTTTAATTCGAACATTCTGAAAATATCGTTTCCTCATTGCTCAACCCTGAGACCTACCACTGAGACTGAGAAAAATGTTGCTCGTTCAATCTGCCGTCGTACGTCTGTCCGCTTTTGCTTCCTCTTCCTTACAATAGTTTTCCAATTTGCCCATCCTTTACAACACCTCCAAAAGATACGTTCAGACTAATTAGAATTTCAAAACAGATATTTCAACAGTTTGGATACATCTGTATTACAATGGCTTTTGTTACATTTATAAGAACAGTTGCTTGCTATAATAGCGCTTCCTGAATCCACTGAGCAACGAATAGTCTGATTCGTTTCGAAGTGATTTTAGAACTATAAATAAGCAAACCATATTTTTTTGGTACTTCATTCCGGAAATATTGGCGCCCGAAAACTGACATATCCCATGACTCTGTGATGACAGTAGTTCCTAAGCACGTGAATATATAATATATAATTATATATATATATAATTATATATATATATAACTACTGGGACATTTATGCTCATAACAGTTCGAGAAAGTCGAAGACTGGAAACGTGCGAACTGTAATCGAAGTTGTGTGTCGATGCAGGCATGATCACACTGTGTAGCGTCAAGCCTTTGTATCGGATGTATTACTATCTTTTTACTTGAAATGTGTTCTTCAGAAGAGCTTGGTGTCATACTGATGACTGTCGTGACAGGGGGGGCAGCCTAGACTACGACGTTACTTCCATATAAGATCTTTTGGATTAGGTGGACACATCATGACAACTCCGCAATTTTCGGGTTAGGTCTATTATTATGGTAATAAAGACGAATGTACTAATGACGAACTAGACAGTAATTTTAAAACTCTGTCCTGTTTTCATATCCATTTCGTGTGCAATGTGAAACATCTTACTCACCTGTACTAGCTTTATGATTCTCCAAGTCTGCATATAAAAAATATATTTGGTCTTCCAAACATTACCGCCTTCGTCATCTCTTATCTCAACATAAATTCGCTTCCAAGCACCCGAAAACCAGTGTTGCCTTATTACGAAGAATTCGGTTGTCGAGTGAGGCAGTGTACTGGAAACATTGGCTCCCGATTGACTGTCCCAAATTGTGTTTAGTTAACACAAACGCATTGATTTCGGTCAGTCGCTGGAAATAAGATTTTAACTGACGCTTGTACATTATTTACGATAAATGAAGATACAGCGTGTGAGTCATTAAAATTTTTAATAACTAATTTGTTACTTTTCTGACATTTGTACGACCGTTTATGCTGACAGTAGCATTATTTCATCTGGTTGGTGATTATCGTCGTCACTTGGTAATGCTATTGTGATGAAGTTCCGAATTAGTCAGTTCGATCAAATCATGATGGTTTGATGGGTATTGTGTGGTTACTCACTCTACGCATCTATAAAGTGCCATATTCACAGGGCCAGCAGTGATATCAATAAGTATGCAGCAGTGGTGACTTAAGTTCCGATGACAGCAACCTACGTAGGATATATCCACGTATAAAGGCAAGTCTACAGCGTCACAAATATTGTAACGGGGACATAGAGGGAGAAAATGGACAATCTGATGTGTCATAAGAAAAACACTTTCTGAGAAGTGAAACCTTATG